CTCCCCCTCTCTCCCTATTTATTTGAGAACCCCCTTCCCCTCTCCCATTTCTGATGAAGGGTCTAGGCCCGAAACTTCAGCCTTTCTGCTCCTATGATGCTGCTTGGCCTGCTGTGTTCATCCAGCTCTGCACCTTGTTGTCTCTAACATTTTCTCATAGTTTTTTTTGTATATGATGTGAAATTAAAAAAACACTTCACAACTTTGCACCAACTCTTCAGTATCTCCATCTACCACTGGATATGAAAAATGACTTCTTTCAACTACCATCAGACAGACCATTCCTGTACAATCTTTGATAAAGCTCCTCTAACAACTTTTCTCTAAATCTTAGCAAAATCATGATTCTTAAACTCCGTAGGAAACTGCCTTGAACTGCACTCAATTTATCTCATTTCTACATGTGAAATACTCCTGCAATTTCTTATACTCTCTTTAGGACAATCAATTTGTGATTATAATTGAGTGCTTTACTGAACATGACACCCTTACATGTTTCATCACCGTCTCTCTGCTAAGCACTGGCATGTTGTTTTGTATGTAAAGTAGTTTACAAAAGTATCTCAGTGGCTAAACTGATTCAGTCTTCACAAGAAATCTCAAAAGAACATTCTCATTTACATAAAGACATAAATACAGGATTAGGCCATTCAGCTCATCAAGAATGTTTTACTATTTAATACAAGCATGGCTGATTGAACACTTCAATGCCTTTTACCCATTACCCTTTATGTTTCCGGTAATCAAAAATCTATCAATCCGTACTTTAAACATACTCAAATACTGATCTTCCACAGATAGCGAATTCCAATGATTCACAATCCTCTGATTTAAAAAAAAATCTTCTCATCCCCCTTTTAGTTTTTGTTCCCTAGTTCTACACTCCCCAATCAGGGGAAACACCTGACATGCACCTACCCTGTTTATCCCCTTAAGTATTCTATAGGTTTCAATGAGATCGCCTCTCCTGCTTCAAAACTCTAGAGAATACAGGCCCAGTTTGTTCAATCTCTCTCCATTAGATAGTCCCGCCATTCTGGGAATGAGTCTGGTGAATCTTTACTGCACTTCATCTTTGGCAACAATATCATTTCTGAGGTAAGGAGACCAAAAGTGTACATAATACGCCAGGTGCAATCTGACCAAGTTCCTATACAATTGAAGCAAGACTTTGTTAGTCCTATACTCAAATTCTTTTGCAATAGAGGCTAATATTATATTAGTCTTCTGAATATCTTGCTGGACCTGCATGTTAGCCTTCAGTCATTTGACAAGGACCAAGGACTCTCTGTGCATCTACACTTGCCAAGCCCTTGCCACTTAAAGCATACTCTGCACATCTGTTCCTCCTACTAAAGTGGATAGTCTCACATATTTCCACATTATATTCCCTCTGCCATGTTCTTGCCCACTCATTAAGTCTATCCAAATCCTCCTGAAGCTGCTTTTCATCTTCCTCACCACTTTTTCTCCCTCCATTTAGCTTTGTGTCATCCACAAAATTGGAAATAAGACATTTGGTCCCCACCTCTAAATCATTGACTTATATTGTGAGCAGTGGGGGCCCGATTATTGATCCTTACAGTACTGCACTAGTCACAGCCTACCAATGTGATAGTAACCCATTTATTCGTACTCTGTTTTTGCAAGATCCCCTGACCATTATACTAATAGCTCATTTTTCAATTTGGTCCTCCAACAATTTGCATAACAACTACTTTGACTTCCTCAGTGACAAACACACACTTACTGATCCTGATCCCTACTATCAAAAACTCCCTACTAATCAATAACTACCCCTTCCCACTGGGGAGACTTTGTTCACTTCTCTTACTACTAATGGCAAATAATAGGAGGCATCACCACGTCCCAGTCTAACACTAACCTGGCACTGGAGTACTGGAATATTGGAATAACAGGGAAGCTTTGTCTAGTTTTGTGAGTGAGAAAGTGATTTACGAATGCCTTGTCCTCTCCTGAGATCACAGACTTAGCTGTAACTGGATCAATGGGGAAAGCAAATTGTGGATCTCAAGTATCATTTTTAATGTGGGGATTGAAATTATAACACCAGTCCTAATCATCTCATCTTCCAAATGCTGTTTTATCTGCTCTTACCTAGACAAGAAGGATGCCATGGGAGCAGGTCAGGTATGTAATGAGGTAAGATATGGCAAGTAAATGTTCTGGGCCTCACTGTGGAAACCCTCCAAAAACCTCGATGCAACTGACACTTACATTTTTTTGGCCAAGATTCAGCCTGATGTGAAACGTTAAATTCTGTTTCTTTTTCACCATATGCTGAATGTCCTGTTTTTGCTTGCCTGATGCAATCTTGGCATGCAACTTTTTTTTATATCCATAATCTTTCACAATGGGATATTGCATTTGAGTATGTGAATCACATGCCCTTGTGGAGCCCATGTGTTCTCAGCAGAGTAAGGAGGCTGTTGCCAAACCTGAGAGAAATATTCCTGTTTGATTTAAAATGTTTTTTTTGGATTGCGTGAGTTATATTGCTGTTTTGCTTACATGGATTAGCTCATTAGATTTTACAACCTGCAATAACTTTTTTTTTTAAAACTTAAATTGTTCAGTTCTTGGAAAAAGTAAAGGAGGTTTTTGTTTGTTGCAGTTGACCATAGCAGAGTTAAACTAGCCCCACTTGTGGAAAAAGACTCCAAGCACAGTGATTATATCAATGCAAATTACATCGATGTAAGTAATGTATAGAAGCTCCTTTCATATTCTGGGATGGTGGGAGGAATAGTTTTGAATTTATTGTTACCCTGTTATTAATTATTATTTATCATTTTTACATTTTATAAAATTTCTCTGGAAACATCCCTATTAGTACAAGATATTGTTTTAAAAGTCTTTGGTTATTTACTATTCAGTACATTTGCATGCAGCTTAATGCCACAACATTACAATTTCCCTCAAAAGTGGAAAATGTTGCTGTATTAATGTATCTCCTGTGGCATTGCTCAGCAGTAATCAGAGCGAAGGATAGAACAGTCAAGTGAATATTGATTGATTTACTGTCACCTGTACCGAAGTACAGTGAAAAGCTTTGTTTACAAGCAATAGAGGCAGATCATAGTAAGCAAGGATGTACAGATCAAAAAGACTCAGACAGAGGCATACAGGTTACATTGCACAGGGTATGCACTAAGTGAGATCAATGTTAGCAAGATCAGCATTATTTGAGGCTAGAGAGTCCATTCATCAGTCGAATAACGGCTGAGTAGAAGCTGTTCCTGAACCTGCTGGTGCATGTGTTCTGACTTCTATACCTTTTGCCTGATGGAAAAGGTTGTAGGAGAGCATTACTGGGGTGCGATGGGTCTTTGATGATGTTGGCAGGCTTTCTGCAGCAGTGAGCTGTGTAAATGGAGTCCATGGATTGAACTCCCTCGTCCGCTCCACACTCCCCTCCAGCCCCACCACACCCAGCTCTTTTCCCTGCAACCGCAGGAAGTGCTACACTTGCCCCTACACCTCCCCTCTCACCCCCATCCCAGGCCCCAAGAAGACCTTCCACATCAAGCAGATGTTCACCTGCACATCTGCTAATGTGGTATACTGTATCCGCTGTTCCCGTTGTGGCCTCCTCTACATTGGGGAAACCAAGAGGAGGCTTGGGGACCGCTTTGCAGAACACCTACGCTCGGTTTGCACTAAACAACTGCACCTCCCAGTCGCGAACCATTTCAATTCCCCTCCCATTCCTCAGAAGACATGTCCATCCTGGGCCTCCTGCAGTGCCACAACGATGCCACCCAAAGGTTGCAGGAACAGCAACTCATATTCCACTTGGGAACACTGCAGCCCAATGGTATCTATGTGGACTTCACAAGCTTCAAAATCTCCCCTCCCCCACCGCATCCCAAAACCAGCCCAGCTCGTCCCCGCCTCCCTAACCTGTCCTTCCTCCCACCTATCCCCTCCTCCCACCTCAAGCCGCACCCCCATCTCCTACCTACTAACCTCATCCTGCCCCCTTGACCTGTCCGTCCTCCCTGGACTGACCTATTCCCTCCCTAATTCCCCACCTACACTCGCCTTTACTGGCTCCACCCCAGCCTCTTTGACCTGTCTGTCTCCTCTCCACCTATCTTCTCCTTTATCCATCTTCGATCTGCCTTCCCCTCTCTCCCTATTTATTTCAGAACCCCCTTCCCCTCCCCCATTTCTGAAGAAGGGTCTAGGCCCGAAACATCAGCTTTCCTGCTCCTCTGATGCTGCTTGGCCTGCTGTGTTCATCCAGCTCTACACCTTGTTATCTCCATGGATTGAAGGTTGGCTTCTGTGATCGTCTGGGCTGTGCACACACCTTCTGTAGTTTCTAATGGTCCTGGGCAAAGCAGTTGCCATACCAGGCCGTTATGCACCCGGACAGTATGCTTTCAATGTGAATCTGTAGAAGTTGGTGAGGGTCCTTACGGACATGCCAAATTTCCTGAGCCGCCTGAGGAAGAAGAGACTTTGTTGTGCCTTCTTGACCATCGCATCTATGTGGGAAGTCCAGGACAGGTTGTGCTGGTACATATATATCACTGACCTGTTCCATGTTTCAATATCTCCTCCTCTCCATTACTGTTTGGCTTTCCTTCATTATAAGCACTTCACTAATCCTCATGGTAATTGCTGCACCATTTCTTCACTTGCAAGAGTATTTACACTGGGATTTTCTTTGCCAGTAATATGGTCATACCTGACCACTGTAACTTCAAGAGAAAATTGACAGAATACACAAGGAAGGCAAAATACTATGAATGCTGGAAATATGAAATAAAAGCTATCGAAGATTAACAGAACTCCAATGGAAGTGCGTTGTCTAGCATTTCTGCCAAAGTAGAAACTTTGGACAGTTCAGCTTCCCATTGCTATTGGCATTCCAAACAGGTTGCAAGAAAGATACAAACATTTTACAAAGATATTGATAGATTAAATAAATAGTCAAAGCTGGCAAATGGAGCACAATTTGAAAAAAACATGAAGTTATTCATTTTGGTAGGGAGAATAAAATAACAGAGCATTATTCAAACAGAGAAGAACTACAGAAAGCTGCTTCACGAAGGACTTAGAGGTATTTGTGCATGAAACACAGAAATCCAGCACACAGATGCCACAGGTAATCCGAAAGGTTAATGGAATGTTCACCCTTCTTTCAAGGGGGTTGGAGTATAAGAGTAGGGAAGTCTTACTGCAACTGTAAAAGGTGCTGGTGCGACCACATCTGGAGTACTGTGAGCAGTTTTGGTCCCCTTATTTGAGAAGAGATATAATTTCATTGGAAGCAGTTCAGAGGAGGTCCGCTAGGACATGCCCCAATAGAGAGGGATTGTTTTAGAGCAAAGGTTAAACAGGTTGGGACACTTCTCATTGGAACTTTGAAGAATGAAAGATGATTTCATTGAAACATATAGGATTCTTAATGAGCTTGACAGGCTAAATACTGAGAGAATGTTTCCCCTAGTCTAGGACCAGAGAGCAAAGTCCCAGGGTAAAAAGACAGCAGTAAAGACTGAGATGAGGAAGAATTTGTTCTTTAAGGGTTGAGAGTCTTTGAAACTCCTTGCCAGAAGAGAGCTGTGATGTGTATATTTAAGGCTGAGATAGATAGATTATTAGTAGGGGAATCAAGGTTATGGGCAAAGGGCATGGAAAATGGACATGAGAAATTTTGGATCAGCCATGATCCTAATGAATGGCCTATTCCTTATAGTCCTATCTTCTCAAGGAAGAAGAAAGGTGAAGTTTGTTATTTTTAATTTTTCTTGCATTATTGTAAATACATGTCTATGCTGCTTTTATCTCCTAGATCTTCATAGAATGTACATAAATGGGCCTTGAATCTGCTTGTTTTGCAAAACTGTCCACTAATAAGTGTGCTAAATAATAAGGAAGGAGGATGTTAACACAATGTATTTCTTAACTATCTTTAACAGGGCTATGACAGACAGAAAGCCTATATAGCAGCTCAAGGGCCACTTAAATCTACAGCTGCAGATTTCTGGCGGATGATATGGGAACACAATGTGGGAGTTATTGTTATGATTACCAACCTGGTAGAAAAAGGAAGGGTGAGTTTGATATTTTGAAAACTCTTGCATTCAGATCTGTGTGACTAGGAATAATAAAATGGACAGCCAATCATTTTACCTCATTGGAATTAAAAATGGAGACATTACTTCAAATGCTTCTATTGGTCATTGCCCATGCAGTTTTGTAAAACATTTGAGGCTTAATTTCTCTTTTGTGCACATTTAGAATGAGCCAGTGAACACAGTTCTTACTTGCCCCATGGCTATAGAGTTCCATTCTACACTGGACATTCAATAAAAGATGCTGCATTTCTTTACTTTACATTCAGAGTTAGTGTTACCAAGGCAATGGATGTTCATGTTGGAGAATGAAACAACTTCCTTCCTGAGCACTCAGCTTCCAACATGAAGTTTATCCAGGTCACGGCGGCACAGTCAGGTCACTGTGGAGAGATGCCTGCAATCTGTTCTAAACTGAGAGAGTTGGAACCAGCACAAATGAAAGCCATCCTGTGTTAAAAATGCCAAATGATCGTGGATTGAAAATACATGATTTTTCCATGACATGTATTCTTATTTCTGTTTAGAGGAAATGTGATCAGTACTGGCCATCAGAAAACAGTGAAGAATATGGAAACATTCTGGTCTCACTGAGGAACACAAAAGTATTGTCCTATTATACTGTTAGACAGTTTTCTATTCGGAACACAAAGTTTAAGAAGGTATGTGGATATGCTTGTACACAAATACAAAATAAAGCATGTTTCAAGGAGGAAAAAAGCTCACATAACATCTTACTGTGAATTAGTTTGTGTCATGTTATAATTGGTCCTCTTACCTCGTTCGCTCAAGTAGGGTAGTCGGTGGGAGGGCATCCATTTGGACCTTGACTCCACACTAATACATTTCCCTCTATGTTCAGAAGCTTATAAATGGAATTGTTCTAATGCAGTGTGTTTTGGAGTTTGCAACAAAAATCTGAACAGCTCTGGATATAGCACTTGGCAAGATAGGAGTGCTATCATTGCTTGAAGGTTGAGATGCAATCCATATTTACACGTAATTTTATGTAATCTTCAGACTGTTCCTGCCCACTTTGCTGTAATGTGCGTGGTCTTCAATTACTCATAGCAGATATGCTTGCTTAAACTAAAATATATACACCATAACCAGTGATAAGAACACAAGAACATAAAAAAAAAGCAGCAGGAGTGGGCCATCTAGCCCATCAAGCCTGTTCCACCATCCAATAAGATCATGGCTGATCCTTTCATGGACTCAGCTCCACTTACCCGCCCGCTCACCATAACCCTTAATTCTGTTACTGTTTAAAAATCTATCTTTGCCTTAAAAATGATGAAGAGATGAAGAGATTTTGTTCACGGATGTCAATTTTGATGTCCATTGCAGAAACAAAATCTAGAACTGTTCCTTTAAAACTGGTGTTCAGCGAGATGAGAGAATTAGGGTGAACAGTCAGTCAAAAGACCATTGAGTTTTCTTTGATTTGATTTAGACCCATTTATAAACTTTATGTTTTACCATGCATTCTTGAAAGAGGCTCACTGTCATAGAGCTCTGTGGATAAGAAGGCGCAGTACAATGATCCCAGTCAATGATACTACTAAATAAACCATAGGACAGTACAGCACAGGAACAGGCCCTTCGACCCATGATGTTGACGCCAAATAAAAATAATCCCTTCTGCCTGCCATATCCCTCCATTCCTTGCATATTCATGTGCTTCTCTAAAAGTCTCTTAAATGCGCCTATTGTATCTGCCTCCAACACCACCCCTGGCAGCACATTCCAGACTCCTGCCACTCTGTGTAAAAAGAAACTTGTGTCTCATGTCTCCTTTGAACTTTACCCCTCTCGCCTTAAGTGCATGCCCCTACTATTAGACATTTCAACTCTGGGAAAAAGATTCTGACCATCAACCCTATCTATGCATCTTATTATTTTATAGACTTCTATCAAGTTTCCCCTCAACCTCTGCCATTCAAGAGAAAACAAACTGAATTTTTTCTAGTCTCTCCTTATAGCTCATACCCTCTAATCCAGGCAGCATCCTGGTAAACCCCTTCTGCACTCTCTCCAAAGCCTCTATATTCTTCGATCTTATAAAGCTGCAACATGTCATCCTGACTCTTGTACTCAATTCCCCAACCAATAAAGACAAGCATGCCATATGCCTTCTTTACCACCCTATCTACTTGCATGGCAACTTTCAGGGAGCTATGAACTTGAACCTCAAGACCCTTCTGTACATCGATGCTGTTTAGAGTCCTGCCATTAACTGTATACTTTTTCTCAACATTTGATCTCCCAAAGTACAGCACCTTACACTTACCCAGATTAAACACCATCTGCCATTTCTGTACCTTTATCTGCAACTGATCTATTTTCTGCTGTGTCCTTTGACAATCGTCTACACTATCCATAACTCCATTGATTTTTGTATTGTCTGCAAACTTACTAATCCACCCGTCTACATTTTCATCTACGTCATTTATATATATCAAACACAGCAGAGGTTCAGTACAGATCCCATGGAGCACCACAAGCGGCGGACCTCCAGCCTGAAACACACCCTTCCACCACTACCCCCTGTCTTCTTTGGACAGGTCAATTCTGAATCCATGCAGCCAAGTCACCATGGATCCCATGCATCTTAATCTTCTGGATCAGCCTACCATGAAGGACCTTGTTGAAAGCCTTACTAAAATCCATGTAAACAACATCCACTGCTCTACCCTCATCGATCACCTTTGTCACCTCCTCGAAAAATTCAATCAAGTTAGTAAGACATGAGCTGCCTTGCACAAAGTCACGTTGACTGTTCCTAATTAGGCCATGCTTTACCAAATGTGCATAAATCCTATCCCTAAGAATTCTGTCCAATAGCTTCGTAACCACCGATGTGAGATTCACCGGTCCATAGATCCCTGGATTATCCCTATTTCCCTTCTTGAACAGAGGAACAACATTAGCTACTCATCAGTCCTCCAGAACCTCTCGAGTGGTTAGCGAGGATACATAGACCTTGGTCAAGGCCCCAGCAATCTCCTCTCTTGTCTGTCTAAGTAACCTGAGGTAGATACCATTGGGGCCTGGGGACTTATCCACCTTAATCCTCTTCAAGAGAACCAACACCACTTCTTTCTTGATCTCAAAATGCCCTAGTGTATTAGCATGCTCCACACAAATCTCATTATCCTCCATATCCTCCTTCTGGGTGAATATCAATGCAAAGTACTCATTTAGGATCTCACCCACATCCTCTGCCTCCATGCACAAGTTCCCTCCTTTATCCAAGAGTGGTCCTATCTTCTCCCTAGTTATGCTCTTGTTTTTAATGAATTTATAGAATGCCTCAAGATTCTCTTTTAACTGTACTTGCCAAAATCATTTCATGGCCCCTTCTTGCTCTCCTAATTTCTTGCTTGAGTTCTTTCCTGGTTTCCTTATATTCCTCACAGCCCCTGTCCAATTTTAGCTTCCTAAAACTTACATACGCTTCTTTTATTCCTTTTGAATAAATTTACAGCCTCCCCCGTTATTCAAAGGCACCTTATGTTGCCATCCATGTCCTTCCTCCTTGCTCGAACATGCCAGTCTTGAACTCTCATCAGCAGGTCTTTAAACAGTTCCCATATGTCAAATGTGGAATTGCCTGATAACAGCTCGTCCCAATTAACACTTCCTAGCTCCTGCTTAATATTGACATAATTTGCCTTCTCCCAGTTCAGTATTTTCTGACTTATCCTTTTTTCATAGCTATCTTAAAACTTGAGTTACTGGACAAGTCAAATCCTAGAATGAAATCTGCCATGAAAGATCTTTTCCTTTTAATTTTAATTAATGTGGTGGGTATTCACTGAAACTTGGTCACAGAGTTCCTTCATGATAGAACAGAAGTTTATCACACAAAAGAAGAACAAAAACAAACTAAGCTATCTCGATATAAAACATAGAAAAATCCTAAAACACCCAGCAAAACTTATCCCTTAACACCTCTATACAAAATCTTTAAGTTGGACTGATTCTCCCTAGTTTGTGAATTATAAAATCATCTTGTATGAAAACCTGCAAAGCTGAGAGCTTAGAGTACCTCAGAACAAATAAAGAACAAAGAACAGTACAGCAGAGGAACAGGCCCTTCAGCCCTCCAAGGCTGCACTGACACATTTTGCTTCTAAACTTCTAATAACCTGCAGATTTTTAACCAAGCACTCCTGATTTGGAAGCTGCATAAACTGAACATTTTTTCTAAGGTAACTTTATTCCCTTACCTGTTCTGAATGAAGTCCTTTCCAGAAGAGGCAGATGGATCTGGGTGTACAGGTACACAGGTCACTGAAAATGGCAATGCAGGTGGAGAAGGTAGTCAACAAGGCATATGGCATGCTCGCCTTCACTGGCCAGGGCATTGAGTTTAAAAATTGGCAGGTAATGTTGCAGCTTTATAGAACCTTAGTTAGGCCACGTTTGGAATACTATGTTCAAATCTGGTCGCCACACTACCAGAAGGATGTGGTGGCTTTGGAGAGGGTACAGAAAAGATTTACCAGGATGTTGCCTGGTATGGAGAGCATTAGCTATGAGGAAAGGTTAGAGAAACTTGGGTTGTTCTCACTGGAATAACAGAGGTGGAGGGGTGACCTGATAGAGGTCTACAAGATTATGAAGGGCATGGACAGTATGGACAGTCAGAAGGTTTTTTCCCAGGGTGGAGGAATCAGTTACCGGGGCCATAGGTTTAAGGTGCAAGGGGCAAGGTTTACAGGTGATGTACAAGGCAAGTTTTTACACAGAGGGTGGTGTGTGCCTGGAACTCGCTGCTGGGGAGGTAGTGGAAGCAGATACTGTAGTGACTTTTAAAAGGCGTCTTGACAAATACATGAATAGGATGGGAATAGAGGGATACGGTCCCTGAAAGGGTAGGGGGCATTAGTTGTGACAGGCAGCATGTCGGTGCAGGCTTAGAGGGCTGAAGGGCCTGTTCCTGTGCTGTAATTTTCTTTGGTCTTTGTTCTAAAATGGGTCTGCTTGTGTCTTGTTGACTTTTCCGTCAGCAGAGTGGACCCATTTTTTCTTTTAAACACTTTCATTGACACCAGTTTTATATTTCTTTCTCTCCTTCTCCACTATAATCACAGTCTTTGTCCTTTGCTCTGATCACCTTCACAATCTGCTCCACTTGCTTCTCCTCCTCCTACTCTGTCAACACCATCTTCCAGCCCTTTTCACTTCTGAAGAAGAGCCATGTCGGACTTGAAAATTAATTCTGTTTCTCTCACAACAGATGCTGTCAGGCCTGCTGACTTTCTCCAGAACTTTCTATTTTTATTTCCAATGGCCTTCAACGTTTATTCCAGCTTTTGTAAACCACCCCAGTATGAAAAATATTCCATTACTCTTCAAGGAGTCCTTGCTATCTGGCACATTCTGGATTTATGCCACTGTTCTGAATGTACTGTTTGGCTTAGTTTTCAAAAAAAAACCTTCCACTCAAGTAACCAACACCTCCATGCCACCATTCTAAAAAAAAATTATATATGAGGGATGAAGGAAAAGAGCATGGAAAAGACATTTGTAAGGGAAGGATGAAATTCCACTTCTTGGTCTACAAAGCTCATACTTTATCGAGGGATCTGAGGGTATTCCCTGTTGATCATAACACCCCAGTGTAAGTTAATACCTGCAGTGGAGGAAATTTTGTCTTATGGGAGAAAAGAGAATTCAATAAATTAATGTATTATTTTTATATTGTTACATATGTTGTGTTCATATGAGCTAAGAGTAAAACTTGTATGCATGGACTGACTTTGTTTAATTTCTATAAAAGAAATCAAAAGACTGCTAAAGACCTAAACTATGCTTCTGACACAGGGATCCCAGAAAGGAAGGCAGAATGATCATACAGTAACTCAATATCATTACACTCAATGGCCTGATATGGGTGTTCCCGAGTATGCTCTTCCTGTCTTAACATTTATACGACATTCGGCGGCTGCTAAGACTAATCTTATGGGACCTGTCATAGTTCATTGCAGGTATGTAAAACTATTCACTGTGGAAACATGGTGTTTAGATGTTTTTAGCTTAGAACTGGTGACGGACTGAATGCTAGAGTAGGCGACCTAGGTAGTTTACCATGTGTTTGCTGTGAGCTGTTGAGCATTCCCGTAATAGCTGCAATGAGTTGCCATGTTCAGTGATGTTTCTTGATGGTTGAGGTCCAGGGCACCATTATTGAAAATTTTTCTTGCAAGGCTGGGCAGGTGATTGGAAAATACATCATTTTTTCAGTGCTCTATGGTCATAAGAAGTTCTGAGAAAGGTTCATCACTGAGGAAGAAAGAAGATAGGAGCATTACTTGGGGTTGTATGATATGAGTACTGGATGATAACCATAAGGGAAGTTGTTTGATCTCCTTTTATCACTGATCCAAGGAATTCAAGTTTAACAGCCTGACCTGTTCAGTGCGCTCACATTTAATATCATGCTGAGTATTTAGCACTAGATTGATGTCATCTAGGCTGACTTTGCTTGTGTATTGAAGTAATGCTATACTGATACATTACTTTGAAGCCTGTCTGCCTATTCATATGGATGTAATAGAACCTATGATACTCTTCAAAGAAAGGAATTCACTTCACCTGTCCAACATTCCTTCCTCAAGCAGTTCCAGCAGTGACAATTTAAGTAACCATTCATTCAATTGACACATTTTATAGATCTTTACTGTGCATAGAATGCTTGCCTTATCTGCCTCGGTCATGACAATGACTGTACTTCAAAATTAATTAATTGTTTACTGATTTAATGGGAATATGTTCAATTGCTATATAAATGCAACTGTTTCTCATTTTCACCACAAGGTTTATCAAATGTAAGTTGGTAAAATACCAGTAGTTGTGAAAGCTGCTAATCAACCGTGCATACATTTTGTTTTCAGTTTCGAGACGTGTGTGTTCCTGTCTAGGCCTTGCTTATCTCTGAGAATGTGGTAATCAGTGCCTCCTTGCAATGCTACAGTCCATGTTGTATAAATGCACCCAACACAATGCTGATAGAAAGGGTTTTCCAGCATTTAGACCAGGTCAAGATACAATGATATAGTTTCAAGTCACAATTGTCTATGATTTGGATGGTGACTTGCAAATAATGATATTCCCATGCATCATCTGTCCTTGTCCTTCTAGGTGGTTGAGGTTATGTCATACTCATGGCTTATACCTAGCATATGTACGAAGGTTTTGTGGAATCGGAAGATGAGTTACTTCCCAGTCTTTGGCCTGCTCCCTAAACCATAGTATTTATATGTTACATCAGCGGCGCTAGTATGAGTAATTTTAACAGTACTTGCAATGAGAATTGATGGTGTTGGATCAGCTAATAATTTTACACAATTGTTGACTTCAACTGTAACTAAAATTGATGAGTACATCAGGGCCATAATCTGGCACATCAGTTTTATTGGTTTTTGGTTAAAATGACTTTTTAAAATGTTCAGGAGAGGGGATGTCCAGGATTGAACAGAGTTGACAACATTTTCTCTTCTGTTCTGTGTTTTGACAGTATGAGTAGTTTTGCGTATCCATAGCAACCAAACAATGTGAGGTTCTGCACTCCAGGCTTTCCTTTGGCTGAAGCACAAGTGGTTACAATGGACCCAGCAATTGAGTCTGAAAGAGAAGTCTTGAGATTTGCTGCCCATGTCACATCCATAAAGAGAAATAAATCCAGGAAGACATTATAATGCTTTCATCCTATCTTTGAAGCATATAAAACCCTTATCGTGAATACCATTGATCAATGTTTACTTGTGACAAAGAGAGAGACAGCAACTGATTTTAAATAACCTAATTTTTACTAATATTACTAGCTTTAATTTGAAAATCATCTATCTCAATACCTGGAGCTCACAATGATAACAGCAGTGAAATAGTCAGCATTCATCATCATTCCTCAGCAATTAACAGCAACTGTGCAGTTAAGCATGGAAATTCAGAAGTCATAATCAGTGACTCCTTGTTCCTCAGAGAACAACTTGCAGATAAAAATCAGTTGGAAATTACTGTACTGACCTGTTCTGAACAAAGGTCACTGGACCCAAAGCGTTAACTCTGCCTTCTCCCCACAGATGCTGCCTGACTTGCTTCAGATTTTCCAGCAATTTCTGATTTTGTTTTTGAAATGCAAATTACTGATTTGATTAAATTTAATTTATTATTAGCATCTCTGTAAAAATACTTGAAAAATATTATTTCTTGTTGAATGAGGTATAATTGGGTTTTAAGGTTTATTAAGTCATCATTATTCCTAAACGATCTCTCCTAAATTTGTTACATTTCTCCATTATGTTAAAATTACACAAATTTTCAAAAATTTTAAAGTTTGTTTATCATATTTTAACTTCTCTACTCCAATGTGTACCTCCCAAACATTTTTCACACTCTTATGAAGATTGTCAATGCTTTCTATTCCAGGCCTGCTGCACGTGACAATTCTTCAAATGTGATTGGTATCTTAGACTGTTTGAGGATATCACTCTGTTTAAGGATGCTGAAAATTCATCCAGGATCGAGCTAAATTTGAGAATGGTGCAATACACACCACAGAGCTTGCTAGATTTTTGTGGGCAGATTTCTTCAAAATCAGTGATGGGTGCTGCCATTTTGTATCTCTCACCAAAATGCGAAACAATTAGCGTATTTTCTGGTCTGACACTTTATCCATTAGATAATTCTGAGGATTTTTGCTACATTAGGGCAGAAAAGTCTGAGTTAATGCTGCGCAGCCATCCTTTTTTTGCTTGGACCTGAACAATTGGATTTGGGAATTCTGTATTTTCACTACTGTAGACACCTGAACAGATAGATGTGGTTGTGGTGAAGGATTGAAGAGTTATCTGATAAAATTTATAATATTCAGTGTTATTTCTCTTACAGTGCTGGTGTTGGAAGGACAGGCACATACATTGTAATAGACAGCATGCTACAACAAATCAAGCACAAAGGCACTGTAAATGTGCTGGGATTTCTCAAACACATCAGAACACAAAGAAACTACTTAGTACAAACTGAGGTAAGAAGAAATCTAAATGTTGGAAGGAGTTCTTGTAGGTGCTTTATTCTAGAATAAATACTTGAAACCAACCATTTCTGGATTACAATACAACAATTTGACCTCCTTTCATGAGGAAATATATGTCCTTGCAGTTTAGAAAACAAAAGTTATTATTCTAATTAAGGAATGCCAGATGTTCTTTCTTCAGTACAACAGTGAATTGTAAGAATGCATTGTGTCACACTGGAAAGCAAAAATAGCAGTTCAAGAAGATCTGATGAATGCCATAAAAATACTCTGTAAACAGTTGACTAAAAGGTTTGACTTGAAGTCAGACAAAGCTCAAGAAGGTTACTAAGAAAGCAGGAAAGAACTCAGGAGGGCTAAAAGGGCCCATAAAATGTCTTTGGCAAACAGGATTAAGGCGTTGTGTACATTTATAAGGAGCAAGAGGGTAGTTAGAGAAAGGGTAGATCCACTCAAGGACAAAAGAGGGAATTTAGGCATGGAGTCTGATGAAGTGGGTGAGGTCCTTAATGAATACTTTGCTTCAATATTGGACATTGTGGATGGTAAGTCTCAAGAAAGGCGTGTTGATGTTCTGGGCCATGTAAATATAAAAAAGGAGGGGGGTTGGTGTTTTAAAAAGCATTAAGTTAGATGAGTCTCTAGGATCTGGCAAGACCTACCCCAGAATGCTGAGGGAGGCAGGTGAGGAAATTGTTGGGACCTTGTACGAAATCCTTAGTCTCTTCAGTCACAAGAGAGGTCCCAGAGGAATAGAGATGGCCAATGATGTTCCTTTACTTAAGAAGGGCAACAGGGATAATCCAGGAAATTATAGGCTGGTAAGTCTTATGACAATGGTAGGGAAATTTTTGGAGAAGATTCTTAGGGTTAGGATTTACTCACATTTGGAAAAGTACAGTCTTATTAGCAATGGGCAGCACGGCTTTGTGTGGGGAAGGTTGTGTCTCACAAACTTGATTTTTTTGAGGAAGTCACAGACAGTGAAGAAGATTGTCTTGGAATACAATGGGACCTTGATCAGATAGGTCAATGGGCCAAGGAGTAAGATGGAGTTTAATTTAGATATGTGTAAGGTGTTGTATTTTGGTAAGGCAAATCAGGGCAGTACTTACACAGTTAATGGTAGGGTCCCAGGGAGTGTTGCCGAACAGAGACCTAGGGATGCAGGTGCGTAGTTCCTTGAAAATGGAGTCGCAGATAGACAGGGTGGTGAAGAAGGTGTTGGCATGCTTGCCTTCATTGGTCAGAGGGTTTGAGTTATAGAGAGAAGCTGAATAGGCTGGAGCATTTTCCCCTGGAGCATTGGAGGCTATGGGGTGATCTTTTAGAGGTTTATAAAATCATGAGGGGCATGGATAGGCTGAATAGCCAAAGTATTTTTCCTAGGGTGGGAGCGTCCAAAACTAGAAGGCATAGGTTTAAGGTGAGAGGGGAAAAAAGAACTGAGAGGTAACTTTTTCATGCAGAGGGTGGTGTGTATGGAACGAGATGCTACATGAATAAAGGGATATGCGCCAAAAGCTGGAAAATTGGACTAGGTCAGATTGGGATGTCTGTTCGGCATGGATGAGTTGAACAGAAGGGTCTGTTTCCATGCTGTATGATCCTGTGACTCCAATTGACGGCAGGGGACAGATGTTGTCCATATGGACTTTAGCAAAGCCTTTGACAGGGTCTCTAATGGCAGGCTGATACAAAAGGTGAAGTCACATGGGATCTGTGGTGAGTTGGTAAGATGGATACAGACTGACTTAGTCATAGAGACGGAGCGTAGTGGTGTGGAAGGGTGTTTTTCTGACTAGAGATCTGTGACCAGTAGTGTTACACAGGCATCGGTGCTGGGACCTTTGTTGTTTGTAATATATGTATAAATAATTTGGAGGAGAATGTAGGTGGCCTGATTAGTAAGTTTGCAGATGACACAAAGTCTGGGGGAGTGAGGAGGATTGCCAGAAGACCCAGCAGGATATAAATCGGCTGGAAACTTGGGTGGAGAAATGGCAGATGGAGTTTAATCCAGATAATGGGAAGTGAGGCATTTTGGAAGATCTAATGCAGAAGGGAAGTATACAGTAAGTGGCAGAACCCTTAGTAGCATCAGTATACCAAGGCATCTATGTGTACAGGTCCACAGTTCCCTGAAAGTGGCAATACAGATGGATAAGGTAGTCAGAAGGTATATGGTATGCTTGTCTTCATCAGTCAGGGCATACAAAAATTTCAACGTCATATTGTAGCTATATAGAACATTAGTTAGGCCACATTTGGAATATTGTGAACAGTTCTGGTTGCCACATTACCAGAAGGATATGGAGGCTTTGGAGAGGGTACAGAAATAGTTTACCAGGATGTTGCCTGGTTTGGAGGGTATTGGCTATGAAGACAGACTGGAAAACTTGGTTTATCTTCGCTGGAACATCAAAGGATGAGGAGTGACCTGATAAAAGTCTACAAAATTATGAGAGGCATGGATAGAATGGATAGACAGAGTCTGTTTTGTTCCTAGGATAGAAATGTCAATTACTGAGGGACATAGTTAAAAGCAGGTAAGTTTAAAGGAGATGGGAGAAGCAAGGTTTTTTACACAGAGGATGGTAAGTATAAGAATGTGCTGCCATAGGAGGTAGTGGAAGCAGGTAGAATAGCAACGTTTAATAGGCACCTTGACAGATATATGAATAGACAGAGAATAGAGGAATAAACTCAATTTCTTGGATGAAGTCCATATTTCTCAAATGTTGAAGATAAATCATTATTTATCATTCCTTGTTGGCCTATTAGTTCTGTAAGAACATTTATAAAATTCCTGAAAGGAATATGGAAATTAAAAATTATAATTTAGCCAATGTTTCACCGGCGTGAAACTAATCTGAAAGTGTAACTAAGCTTTATTCCAAAGATAAGTTAAGGCATAGAACTATTAACTAATAACTAATATGTTCTAGCTTAATTATTATGAGAGCAATTTTGTTTAAAAGTCTAGGTGTGAACCCATTAAATGGTAAACACACAGAAGCTGAGTAATTTGTTGAAAAGCAGTGTGAAACAGAAATGAAAAGGCTGTTTAGTCCATGATCCTATATGAACCGTAACAGCAGATTGAAAGATCTGCCTTAGCTAGTTTTTACAATGAAACAAGCAGTGTTCAAGTGCAACCAGAGAATGAAGGGACACTGGCCCACACCAGAGGGTACACAATCTAATAATCTATTAAGTTATTGGGGAAATGGGTTCAGGAGATGAACAAACATTTGGAGGCTAGAGTAAGTCAGAAGTCACATAACACCAGGTTATAGTCCAACAGGTTTATTCGGAATCACACAAGCTTTCGGAGTGCAGCCCCTTCGTCAGGTGCAGTGGGAGGCTGGAGTAAAGAAGAAATAATAAATATGATGGAAAGGAGGCAGCAACTTTTGACTGATAAAAAAGACTTGTCATACACTTGTGCATATAACATTGTGAAGCTTGCCTTCAACATTTGTAACCATCCTAAACTTTCCTCTCAGAAAGAGAATGTATATGTGAATAAGGATTCTTAATTCTGGTACTAATGCTTTTTTAGCTGTTAGGCTGTTCTTCCACAATGTCTAAATCAACATCACTAATGTTTTGGTCCATATATCGTATACTTGTAGCATAATGACTGGAACTAATTATGCAATTTCATGTCTCATATGCTTTCTCAATAGGAGCAGTACATCTTCATTCATGATGTCCTGGTGGAGGCCATCTTTAATAAGGATACAGAAGTTCCAGCCAGTCATTTATATGCCTATGTCAATGCTCTTCTGACACCAGGACCCTCAGGGAAAATGAATCTAGAGAAGCAATTCAAGGTAAAGATATTAAAATGTCACTTTACAGGTATTGGTTTTGGGCATTTTATTGCGACGCTCAGTGGGAGTAAGATGCTAGCATTGTCTGAGTTACTTCGAATGATCAAATGTGACCCCTTTCCTTGTCATCTTCTGAGATGAAGTCCACTTTTCTAATGTCAGCTGTGGCTCAGTTGATACCATTCTTGCCCTGAGTCAGAAGGCTCTGAGTTCACATACCACTTTAGGATTTCAGAATAAAATTCACAGCCTACACAGTGCTGCATTGTTGCTGCTTTATCAGATGTGATATCTTCCAGATGAGATTTAAAACTGAGCGAGTTATTGTGTGAATGTAAAATAATGTCATTATTTTGAAGAGCAACGGAATTACTTCTGCTCTCCTGGCTATTATTTTGTTCCTCATCAACACCACAATGTCAAATTGTCTGGTCATTGCTTTTTTGTCAGTTTTTGCTGTGTACAAATTGCTGCATTGGGAAAATACAACAGTGACTACAACTCAAAAAGACTTCCTTGGCTGTAAAGCACATCGATGAATCCAGTACTCGTGAAAAAATGCTGTATAAATGCAAAAATTCTTACCTCCTTTTGATATTTCCTGAGAAAGTATCGGCAACAAATTTAACTGATATTGCCAACCATCTTCTATCTCACCTTAACTCCCTCAACCGCTACTTCACCTGGTCCCTAAAACCCAGACAAGAGAAACATTGATGGTTAAAAATGATCAGTTCGCCAACAGAAGTCAGAATGTAGTATTCTTATGAAGTTGCTCCAACCTTCAGAGGAAGCCTGTGGTCATAAATAATTGTACTTGTACATATAAGTAGAATGAATGCTGAAATAAAATTTTGTAATAGACAAATGGAGATTTTTGTTCTAAAAGGTTTGGGCAAAGAAAAGACTAAAAAGCTGAAATATAATCAAAAAAATGCTGCAAACATTCTGCAGGTTGAATAGTGTCTGCAGCGAGAGACAAACCCTGAACCCTTGATACTTTTCCCAAAAGTGAAATATGTTGCAATCAAATGATTTATCAGGAGGAACAGAATCAGTAAAAAATGGGACGAGGAGAGAAATTGGAGATGAGTTAGTAACAGATGATAAGGATGTATCAGAATGAGGCAATACTCAGACAAATAAAAAGGTTATCCTGAACCCAGAGGAGCTGTAATTGGTTATAGCAGAATAGCAGAGGTCGAGAGGAAGCATGGAAAATTTGGCAAACCAATGAGGCCTTCTCTGACAATGGGGTGTGGTGGATGAGGAACGCAAGTGAAAGAAATGCATGGTGAAAATCATCTCATTGGCCATGTACTTTCGGGGAATTTCCACCCCCCCCAAGAACCTGTACACACCTTCCCACATTCTCAGAAACACTGGTGCAGTCATCTAAAATTTCCAACATCGGATGTCCAAGAGGAAATGGACATTATGGTTTAGGTCTGAAGTAGCCTTTGTCCCCCCTTGGAAAAGATCAATCAATATTACGGCTACAGGACAATAACACACCTAGTGGAAAAATCAGATGTAGTTCCTCATTAACTTGCATTGAGGTTTATTGCAATGGTTTAGTGTAGCTGGTGTAGTGAAGACTCCATCACAAGCAGCAAATACAGGAAACTAAGAAGCAGTCCAAATAAGTTGCTGTCTGTCATGAATTGTGTGTTTGTGACCTGAGAGCGTGGTTTCAGAGGACAGAGCTGAGGTGCCAGTTTAATCATGGTGGAAGTTGTCGATGGTACACATGGGCACTCTGTGTTGTGGGTTAGCATATTAAGAAGGCAGAAACATATTAAACTCAAACAAATCTGAATTTCCAGAATAAAATTTAAGATAATTAAGATCAAGGAGCTAATAACTGAGATTCAAGACTCAATATCAGAATCCGAGATCATTGTTTAAACACAGAATGGAGTTCAAATTCACATCCATTTTATATTCATATTCAGGGTATTAGTTATATTTTAACCCTCAATTTCTCTTTATTTCTCTCAACAGTTGGTAAGCCAGCCTCATGCTAAGCAATGTGATTACTCTGCAGCACTGAAGCAGTGCAATAGAGACAAGAACAGAAATTCCTCTATCATTCCCGGTAGGTTTAAAGGTTGCATTATTTGAAGAATTTCAGTTTTTAATTTGAAAGCCTTACATTTAATTTGAATAAATATTAAAGAAGGTTTACCAATGTCATGCCACAGTGCTAAAATACTGAATGTTTACATACTTTATGCCTGTGTATGATGGTAGCGGTCGGAGACTACATTTTAGTCTATGGCTGAAAGGAGGACTTCAAGATATTTCACTAATAATTTTAAGTTTCACCTGCAGAAGTAGAAAGGCTCATATGGTATGATGGCTATTCATTTGCAGTTTAATACCAAGTCCACTTGCCTTCATGCAAGCATTCAAGTTCACTGAAAGAAATGCATTATTACCGTGTTTGTTTTTTCAGACTGAACACTACTGGAGGGCTGTAACCAATTTAACATGAAAGGGATCTGCATCCTATCAATTCAAAAATTACTGTTTGGCAGCTCTGATTTGTGGCAACTCATCACAATGTAAACTGAAAGCAGCTTTCTTCTCATGCATGTGCCATGTTCTCAGTTAGTAGATAGGAGCTACAGGTGACCAATCAGGATTGAGTCACCTGACAACTCTATCCTTTTTTTTCCTCTCAGGTTTTTTCCTCCATCTGGAGCAGTGTTTGGCTTTATTCATGCCTAATTGTTCTCAGTTTATATATAATTGCACATATTACAGTGCTCTTGGAATACAGTGGTTTGGTGGAAATATTTAAATCTTTTTTTTCATTCTTGGGATATGGTCCATTGCAAACATTTGTTGCCTATCTCTCATAACCCCGAGGAAGTGATGGTGAGCTGCCTTTGAGTCAAGCTTTGACATAACCGGGCCACTTTAGAAAGCAATTAAGAGTCAGTTGTATTATTGTGAGAATGGAGTTCCATATAGACATGTTGGCATGGCAAATTTCCTTCCAAGGACACCAGTGAGCCAATTCAGTTTCTGACAATTTGCTAAAATTTTCAATGATACTGGCTATTTTACTTTCAAACTTTTTAAAACTGCACGCAAATTTTCAAATTGTCATGACAGGATTTGAAATTGTATTCTTTCAATAATAATTTTAAACATCCATTCATTCGAATGTGGGTATTACTGGCTGGGCCAGTGTTTGTTGCCCATCCCTAGTTGCCCTTGGGAAGTTGGTGTTGATCAGTCTTGAACTGCTGCAGTACTTTTGGTCTAGGTAGACCTACAATGCCTTTAGGGAGGGAGTTATGACTCTGAATTTGTTAATTGCTAGCCCAGTAACAGTGACAGTGGATATGAAGCAGGAACTAGATAATTGAGGTAAAACTTAACAATCTGTTTTAAATGACTGAGAAGGATTTTTTCTTTAAAGTTTTTAAAAATTCTTTAAAAATTATCTATGACCAAGTAAGATTCAAATAATTTATTATCCATCCAACTGCCTAATCAACATTGCACCATTTTTCCTAGGATGACAGAAGAAATTGAACTTTGCAAAGCTTGATCCAACAGGAGGGGATGCTTTAGAAGAAAGGATGTTTATTTAATTTCTTCAACCACTGGTAGCAGAGAAACAAATTAATTAAGATTACAATTCAGGGCATGAATAGTTAAAATGATTACCTAAGTAATTTAATGTCAGATCTTAATCCTTTAGATACAAAGTGATGTTTTTACGTAAAAATGCACTGTATCCAGAGAGGGAAACGTCCCTGACTTTTGTCATCCATCTCCTTTTGGCAGGAATTGCAAATTGCAGAAAGACCTATTGTCATGGTTTCTCGGGTCCAGCATGGTACCACAGTGCTGTATTGGTGGCATTCTGAATTGTGAGAATTCTGAAACCCTGAATCTTTGAGGGAGCTGGTCTGCTCCATTGTCAATTATCATTAACCTGTAGGTGAAAGTAAGTGTTTTCTTTCATTCTAGTGGAGAGATCAAGAGTTGGACTCTCAACCTCAGCCACAGAGGGCTCTGATTACATCAATGCTTCTTACATTTCGGTAAGCATCTTGAAAACAGTCTGTGCAAGTTTACATCAGGATTAGACAATGCTGGGTGTTGTGTCCATACGTCTCTATTAATGAATGGACTTGATATAGTTAGGCAAAAATATGAGCCATTCACAAAATGCAAACTTTTCACTTCACAAAGCTTAAAATTGTGAAGATTAACCTTCATTTTTTAATCCTCCTTGTGCTAAAGGAATTTTTGAATCAGTCAGGAAACCGCAATTACCCAGTCTTTCAGGTATAAGATATTTAAGGAAGTGGAATTGAGCAGATATTCGAGACCAGAAAGTGCTTCACTGGACTGCAATAAGCTCCCAGATCACAGCTTAGATATCTTTGAGTGACACCGTTAGTTGCTGCTAGTGCTGGTCAAGCAAAGTACTACTTCCCCTGCCAGACTTTGAATTCCATATGAGAGAGAGAGAGGGGGTGGGGATGAAATGACAGCTCAATGTGTGCACCAAATCTGCAAGTGAAACCTGAGGTTTAAAAACACATGGCCAGATCATATTCATTAATTAATCTGTGGTTACACTCTTATCCTTTCTCCTCACTTCTGAAATATGTCTCTATGGCTCAAGTTGTATGATCTGGGTCAGAACTGCTATTTCGGACCCAGATCAGATTAAGACTGCCCACTTACCTTCGCAGGAGTTTCCTGGGTGAACTTCTGGACCAGTTGTATTCCCAATAGTGGCAGTACAATCCAAACTGGGAAACAATGGAAGCAGAGGTGGTACAAAATCAGCCACATGCCTGCTTTTTCAGCAGTGGGTGCCATATTCTCTAGTTTAAAGGATCAAAGGCACTGAGACAAGGTTAATTCAAATAAATAGGGGGAAGAGGGCAGGAGGTGGGTGAGTGGGTAGATACCAGTCAAAGAAATGCAATCATTGTTGTGATGCGAGAAACGCAGAATCCAATATGTACACTGGAAGCTGATGCAGCAGCAATGGGATAATATCCAGACAGTTTGCTATGGATTGAGGGATAAGGATTGCACAGGACACCAGAGAAAATTTCCCTCGTCTCCTTTGTAGTATTTCTACAGGAAATACATCCAGCGGAGGGAGCAGATAGAGCCTCTGTACAAGGTCTTATTTGAAATCATGGCATCTCCAGCACTGCAGCTGTCCCTTAGTGCTGAACCAGAGTGTCAATCCAGGGGTTTTGTAAGCTCTGACACAGCGCAAGAACCAAACACTTGCACTAAATACATCTGTTGCTGAAATGCTTATCTCATCCGTCTGGAGGTTCAATTGTGCAAGAATTGGATTTGCTTTTTCTCATTTTGCTCATTTTTGTAATTTTGGACATGCTGGCAAATGATATGAACACTACCTGATGAATTTGTATTATGGAGATTATCATTCTTGTGCATTTGTACTTTGCTTTGTATTTACTCCCAGGGATTTCATCAAAGTAATGAGTTCATTATAACTCAACATCCACTGCCACATACCACAAAGGACTTTTGGAAAATGATATGGGACTACAACGCTCAAATAATTGTCATGCTGTCAGATAACCAAGTGCTGGTATGGAATCTTATTTCATTTTTTAAACTGACTGATTTTAATTTGAAATTTTGAGAATCAACCCATAAATGTTTCTATCATCAGGTTCAGCCAGAAGGATTGGAAGAATCCTTAATGCACAGAAAAACTACTTCTATTAGCAGGAGCCAAATTCTGCAACATAAAAGTTGCACACCAAATCTCAGATATATATCTGTCACAATCCAATCTAAACACGTGGCAGCACTGTTTGTGAATGATGATTGAACTTTGTCATAGTTTCAATCATTTACTGATGTACTCCAAACACCCTACAGAGCAGGGAATAAGAATTCAGTGGCAGTACAATGACAGAATGTGCGCAAACGGAGGGAGTCTTTTGCCTGCTTCTGAGCAGTCCCCTCATTGTTTTGCAATGAATTTTGTACTCACTCTCCAGATCACTTGGAGGTTAGATCTTTCATAGAAATCGTAGAATCCCTACCGTATGGAAACAGGCCATTCGGCCCAACAAGTCCACACCGACCCCTCCGAAGAGCATCCCACCCAGACCCATTCCCCTCCCCCTGTACTTCCCATGTCTAATCCACCTAACCTAAACATCCCTGGGCACTATGGGCAATTTAGCATAGCCAACCCGCCTATCCTGCACATCTTTGGGTTGTGAGAGGAAACCCATGCAGACACGGGGAGAATGTACAAACTCCACACAGACAGTCGCCCAAGGCTGGAATCGAACCCGGGTCCCTGCCACTGTGAAACAGCAGTGCTAACCACTGAGCCACCATGCCGCCCTAAAGGAAATACCCGGTTCCCCTTCTCTTCTATCACCACCACCACCCCCCCCCCCCCCCCTTCCTCAAGCAGCCAAAAAAAAGTAGAAAGAAATACAATTCAACAAAAACAGGGCCAGAAATAATTTTGGGGTGGGGTGGAGAAAGTCCATTAAACATTGCAGTCGGCCGCATGTGTACAAATATCTGCATTTTATTTATATTGGTAAATGTCTTTTATATAACGTATGTAAATGCATATAGATAGAGTGAAGAGGAAACAGAAAGATTCAGGCAGAGTGAACACAAAACAAGTTCTTGCCAGAGAACTTTGACAGAAGAATTGTGGAAACAAGGTTTTCCTGGTACTTTGGCTCATCCTTACATAGGAAATTAGGAGATAAGGAATATATTGGACAATGACCAGAATTTCTGTTGTTTCAGGAATAATGTAGTAGCCAAGACACCAGTGACAATACCACTGTTCCTTTTCAAAATAGCGACGTGTTATTTTGCATGCAGTTGAGAAGGCAGACAGGGTTTTAGTTTGATATCTCATCCGAGAATAGCACTTCTGGCACTTCCCTTCCTCCACCTCACTTTTTGTATTCATGTCCCTGGAATCGGACTGAAATGGGATTTGACGCCCCCAGTATTTTGACACTGCTGTTCCCTGAGCCATAGGCATACATTTGAGTGAAGAAATGTATGATTACTTCATTCAGCGACGCTTATGATCAAAACAAATTAGATTCAAATGTTCTAAAAGAAATGCAGAGTTAAGCTAGTCCTGTTTTAAAAAAAACATATGTGCCAAAAACAACTGCAACTAATGCCTGACAGGGAGTTAGCTAATGCTTGTCTTCAATACAGCAGCACAGGAATAGATCATTGTCAGTAGGTCATGACAAGAGTCGATGCAGTTCCACTCGTATGTTAAAACAGCCGCTGGCTGTTTTCCCTCAAGGAGCTTCAGAGAGAATTTCTTAAACAAAATGCTTGTCATTTTCTGTTAGCCAATAAATTTGTGAGGGTATAAACATGATGGGATTGCTGTTCACAGACTGAGAATGAATCTGTGTACTGGCCAAGGAAGGAGGAGCCAATGAATTGTGAAACGTTTACAGTGAGCCTGATCAACCAGAGCCATCTTTGTCTTTCCAACGAGGAGCAGCTCATCATCCAGGATTTCATTCTTGAAGCAACACAGGTAACCAGGCAAGCGTTAGTGACCCAGAGGGGAATGGTGACTCATTATGAGGCTGTTGTAATTTGATTCATCTTGAAACACAAGCCATAGGTTGTGTAATGCTTGGCTGTAATTGACAAGTCTGATCCAGTTTGCTTGGTGCAACTATTAGAATTCTGCAACTGCTTATTTTAAATGGTAACATAGAGACATTAAAAGAGTGGGTGTGGACCACTTAGCCCAGAGCCCTCTCTACCATTCAACGTGATCATGGCTGATCCCCTATTTCAGCACCTTATTCCCGCTTTATTCCCATACCCTTGACACCTTTAGCCTCAAGAACTCTACCTATTTCTTTATAAATATATTCAGAGACCTTGCCTCCAACAGCCTGCTGTAGTGCAGAATTCCATAGATCCACCACCCGAGTGAAGAAATGTCTCCTCATCTCAATCTGAAGAGGTCTACATTGTATTTTGAGACCTTGGCACCTCCTTCTGGACCCCGCTACACCTCAGCCAGAGGAAACATCATCCCTGCACCCAGTCACTCCAGCTGTGACTGAAGTTTATACATTTCAATAAGATGCCATCTCTTTCTTTTAAACTCCAGTGTCTAAAGGCCCAGTCAAACTCAGTTTCTCCTCCTGCAGCAAACCTACCATCTTAGGAATCAATCTGGTGAACATTTGCTGAACTAATCTTTTCTTAGGTAAGGAGACCAAGACTCCCCGTGTGACAATCTATTAGAATCATAGAACCCTGCAATGTAGAAGCAGGCCATTCAGCCCATTGAGTCAGCACCAACCCTCCAAAGAGCATCCCACCCAAACCAAACCCGTACCCTAGACTTGTAACCCTGCATTTCCCATAGCTAGTTCACCTAACCTATACGTCCCTGGACACTATGGGCAATTTAACATGTCCAATCACTTAACCTGCACGTCTTTGGACTGTGGGAGGAAACCAGAGCTCCCAGAGGAAACCCACACAGACATAGGGAGATTGTGCAAATTCCACATAGTTACCCTAGGCTGGAAATGAACCTGGGTCTCTGGTGCTGTGAGGCAACAGTACTGACCACTGGGCCACTATGCTGCCCATTTCGCCTACAAAACAAACAGTTCTGACCATGTCTTTATCAACTTTACACTTTGTAAACCTAGAGTGACACCACTTCAACAGCAAGTATCATTAGATTTAAACAAAATAATTTGTTCTGTACCATCTAGTGATATAAAGTTCTTTTTCACGTTTTGAAAGGATCTGGTTAAGACCTCATAGTGGCCTACTTTTTGCTTCCACTGGAGTCATTTGTACATTGCCAGTTTTTAACGTTTCCTATTCCAATTAACTCTCCTCAGATTGTGTCTAATATACATTTTATTTTTCTCATTATACCTCCTGTGCAAATGCTTCTGCTCCTTAACTATTTCTTAATGTCTCACTTAAACATTTTACAGATGTGTGACGTTATGTGATCTTCCCCATCCCCCTGTCTATTTTGTTCTCTCTTTAATGCTGCTGCTGATTTCTGAGATGGCATTCACATGTCAAACAATAATCAGCTTGTGCTATCTTGGAGGTGTTGTTTAACCTGTGAAGTGTCTCAGCACTTTTGCATTGCTGAGTAATTATTAGGTGGTTTTCTGTTTCACCAAATGGTCAAGAGTACAGAGCAAGCATGTTCTACTCAATAGCAGGATTATGCTGGACTTTAGAAAGTGAGGTATCTGATCATTAGCCTTGCACCAATGCTTTGTTCCCTACATTTATCAGTTGGAAGCCATGGGGGTAAGACATCTTTTGTTAGGTATCCATGATTTAGATAAGTGGGCAATCTTAAGCGTACAGATATTTTGAACATTGAAGACTTGAGAAGATCCCTTATATTTGTTCCCCAGTCTAAGTTGAATTAGCAGATTTGAGTTGGCTAGGAGCAGGAGGCATTATCATTGTTTCTGATTTAGACAAGGGAAGTACTATCCAGGGTCTCACTTCTGATCATGATTTTGTGTGACGCATGCTGCTGAGTGATTTCGCATGTGATGTTTTCTGCAACCGGTGGTTGACCTGGCCTCTCCACTGAGGTGGACACAGGAATAATAACAATGGGGGGAAGGAAGCAATGAGTGAAAGTCACAAACATACTTATGGGGGAGGCCAGCACAACAGTGAAGAAACCAAAGCTAATACAGTTGCAACCATCTTCAGCCAGAATTGCTTCAGCAGATGATTCATCTCTGCCTCCTCCTGAGGTCACTAGCATCAAAGCTTCCAGCCTTCAGCCAATTTGATTCACTCCACATAATGTCAATAAATAGTTGAAGGTGCTGCATACTACAAAGGCCCTGTCTTCATTCTGACAGGTAGTACCAAAGACTTAGGCTCCAGAACTAGCCACAGTCCCAGCCGCGCAGTTCCAGTGCAGTTATGATGCTGGCATCTATCCAGCCATGTAGAAAATTGTCCAGATGTGTCATAGCCCCATGGTAGGTGGAATGCATTGCCAGAGAGGGTAGTGGAGTCGGCCTCATTAGGGGCATTTAAGCGGCTATTAGATAGGCATATGGATGATAGTATAAGGTAGGGGTGGAGGTTAGATAGACCTTGGGTTTAGGGTAAAAGTTCGGCACAACATCGTGGGCCGAAGGGCCTGTACTGTGCTGTACTGTTCTATGTTCTATAGCCATGAGTATGGTGATAAATCCAACCTGATCAATTGCTGGCCCATCAGTTTACTTTTGATCATCAATAAAGTGATAGAAGGTATTATCAATAGTGCTATAAAGTGGCACTTACTGAGCAGTAACTGTCTCATTGGCACTCAGCTTGCTTTTCACCATGTCTACTCAGCTCCTGATCTCAGTACACGCTTTGTCCAATCATGGACAAGGAGCTGAACTTGAGATCAGGGGTCTTGACATCAAGGAACCCCAGTAAAACTGAAGTCAATGGGATATGGGGAGATCTCTTCGCTGGTTGGAGTCTAGTACAAAGATTGTAGCTGTTGGTGGTCAATCATGTGAGCCCCAGGACATTGCTTTAGGAGTTCTACATGTTAGCATCCAAGGCCCAAACATCTTCAACTGTTTTATCAATGCCATTCCCTCTATCATAAGGACAGAAATAGGGCTGCTCACTGGTAATTGTACAGTTTTCAGCACCACTCTCAACGACTTGAGTACTGAATTGGTCGTTGTAAGTATGCAGCAAGATCATAGCAACATTCAGGCTAGGCTGATATATTGCAGTAGAATCCGTGCCACACAAGTGCCTGGCAATGACTATCTCTCTGACCAGAAAGAATCCAACCACCCTCCCTTTAAATATTCAACAGTGCAAATTAGGAATGTGATGAAATAACCTCCACCCAGGAAGCTATCCAGGACAAGGCAGCCTGCTTGGATGGCACCCCTTCTGTCACATCAAACATTCACTCCCTCCGCCTTGAACACAGTGACCACAGTATGTACCATCTACAAGATGCACTGCAATCACTCACCAAGGTCCTGAGGCAGCACCTTCCAAACCCATGATTCTACTACCAAGAAAGAAGACAGTTGCAAGTTCATGAAAGCACTACAACCTGCAAGTTCCGTCCAAGCCACACACCATCCTGATTGGGAACTATGCTACGATTCCTTCAATGTCACTGGGTCAAAAACCTGGAAATCCTTTCCCTAACAGCACCGTAAGTAGACCTTGTGAACTTACATCTCATTAAAAGATATGTCTCCAGATATTTTTAACCATTTTGATGCATTGTGAACTCCACCAATTACAATTGGAGGAAAATAAATTTGAACAATCCTCTTGACCTACCTTGGAACCAAACTACTGTATAAGTACATGCTTGGACAGATGTGTCTCATGAATGAAGAAAGAGGGCCAGAGGACAAGAACGTGGACTAAGGGTTCAGAAAAGTGGCTGGCCATTGCTTTGCCAACTTACACAGTATATGCAGAGTCTTTCCATTGATACCGACATCCAGTGAAAGAGAATAAATTATCTAAAGATCTGAAAAGTAATGGTTGATATTCTAATTCTGGTCTCCTGTGCAGCTCCAATTTTCATCACTTCACCTTTGGCCATCCTTCCAGCTGCCAAGGCTCTGAGTTCTGCAATTAGCTTGCTGAATCTCTGCATTCTTTTCTTTTCCTTTTAAGTCATTCCTTAAAACCTTTGCTAATGTTTTCATCATCTGTCCTAGTATCTCTTTGTAATTTTAGCATCTCGTTTGTTATTGCTCATGTGAAGCTCCTGGGATTGGTTTGTTACGGTAAGAGTACAGTAGAGGTGCGACATAGCTTGCTGCAAGATTGCCGATAATAAATAGTGGAAATTGGAGACAAACAAGATGTGGCCAATCCCTAAAGGTTTACAGATAGAACACTTTTAGGATCAATATCCTAATCACTGAGAAGCCAGTTCTCTCTCTCCATTCATGAGAGATATCTGTCTGAACATATGTTAATATAATAGTTTGCTTCCAAGATAGGTCGTGGATTATTTAAATTTATTTTCCTCTAATTGGTATTAGTGAAGTTCTCAATGCATCAAAATGCTTAAAAATATCTGGAAACATATTCTTTAATTAGATATGATTTCACAATCCAGAAAGTCCAGAGGTCTAAGTCTTGGTGACAGCATCCTGAAGATGAGTTTTGACTGTTCACAAGCAAGTCTGTAGAGTGTCCAATGATGATCCTACTTTTAATGTGTGTAGCTTTTTAAAAAAAATCTGTCAGAAGTAGTTTCTTTGAATATAATGGAGCTATATAATCAGTAATGCTATTATTTATAATTCCCTTCACTACAGGATGACTATGTGCTTGAAGTGAGGCACTATCAGTCTCCAAAATGGCCAAATCCAGACGGGCCTATAAGAAAAACCTTTGAGCTCCTCAACATGATACGAGAAGAAGCTGCTACAAGGGATGGGCCAACTGTTGTCCATGACGAGTATGTCTTTCTCCTTTTCTAAATTTAAACCCCTCATGCAACAGAGGTCTCAAATGAAACACATGATTTTTAATGAAAATGCCTTCTCAGAAATGGAAATTATCATATTTAGACAAACAAAACGCAAAGTGATGTTGGCTATTAACTGCCTAGTTTGATTGATCCACCGTTTCCTGGAGAAAAGATTGATTTGGAGGTATTTGTTCGGATTCTACAGAGTAACTAGTCTTTCAGCTATCGTGAGGAGATTCTCATTCGGACCAAGCCTGATAATATGCTGTTTCTGAGAGCTGTATGATTGAACTTACTGTTCAGACACCCTATTGTTATGGTAATCAGGGCTGAAGGGAAGACAGGCCTAGTAGAATTTTCAGTTGATCATTACCCTTGATCCAAGTTTGTAATATCCGCATGATTCTGGGACATTTTTGTTTGAAATTTTAATGTTCATTAGATTGACTGTGAACTTTTTAAATTTGGCATTGGACTAGGCTGCAGTTGTATCACAGCAAATATTATACCAAAGTGATGTGAAGATTCTATTTGATACTTGGTGTGTGTGTGTAAAAACCTAAACTCCTTTTACTATTTTTCACAGACATGGAGGAATAACAGCTGGTACCTTCTGTGCTTTGACTAATCTAATGCATCAACTGGAAAGTGAAGATTCAGTGGATGTTTATCAAGTGGCTAAAATGATTAATTTAATGAGGCCCGGTATCTTCACCGATATTGTAAGTCGCCACCACAGTGTATAAATGCAGAGTTCTTTACCATTTTGCCAAAACGTTTCAAAAACATATTTAACCATCTGTCTGAAATTGATGGAAAATCAAAGGCAACCTGGCACTCAGTCTGTGGGCTGCCTCGTGGGGAATGTTCCAATGTACATCGACGGTGTTTGTGTTGAAAGCATCACATTTTATGTGCTGGATTTTAGGTGCCCCCAGTGCTTGCGGAATATGTCATGTGATTAGTCCATCACCTTCACACCCACCCCTGAGTGCACACCCGTAATATGCTCGCTCACCCACACCATTCAAACAAATAATTGTCAGCAAGCCTCTTGACCCAAACAATACTGTCCACGTTATAAATGGCCTGCCCACTGCAACCATAGATTGAAGGCCTATGTGATAACAAGTGGGGGAGACGGGTAACGTATTTCAGGGGCCTCACTCCCTGAAAATGTCTTTTCACCTTTCCTTCTGGGCCATCTGCCCAACAAAACCAGGGGTCCCCAAACCCCGTCTCTAGGTTTGAGGAACCCTCTCCATTGGGTTTACTTTTCTGGGGCAGCCATGATCCTTTTTGGGGCTCCTTCCTGCACTCCACTGCCCATTGCTGAGCTGAATCAGATTGGCTAGCAGCTCCCTAAGGTAAAGTCTCCTCACTCCTGCAGAAGTCCCATTATTAACAAATTTGGTTTGTACCCAATATATTATAGCTGCTGGAACGTTTTTTTGTTTGCAAAGCACTGGCTTCTGGTCAACTTTCCTTTGGGGATGTGTGTCAATCGTAGAATCCCTACAGTGTGGAAGCTGGCCATTTGGCCCATCAAGTGCACACTGACCGTCCGAAGAGCATCCACCCAGACCCACCCCATCGCTGTAACCCAACTTTTCCCATGGCCGATCCACCTTACCCACACATCTTCGGACTTGAGGGGGAACCAAAGCACCCAGACGAAACTCATGCAGACACATGAGCAAACTCCACGCAGAATGTCACCTGAGGGTGGAATCGAACCCAGGTCCCTGGCTCTGTGAGACGGCAGTGCTAACCACTGAGCCATCACGTTGCCCCACAAGATGCATCCACAAGAGTTTTAGCCCTATAATTGAATTTGGTTTAAATCCAATAGGTGCAGTGTGATTCAGCAGGGTGGGGGTGCTATTGAATGAGTGCTCCCAAGGTACCTACTGTGATGATATTCAGCCATAGACTGTGGTCATTTCAGGGTAATTGCTATTCCATCCATTCAGCTGGATGATGCACCTGGGCAGGGAAGAGTTCTCGACTGAACTAGATGGACCTTTGCTAGAGTATCTTCTGACCAAATCTCGGAGGGGTAGTTGAGGCTGCTGAGTGCTGATAATTGTGGGAAGATGAAATGCTCACAATTCTTGCATTGCTCAGATTTGCCAGAATTCCCACAGGAAGCAGGGTAGCTGCTAAATGTCAGCATTGTGCTCTGAGCACAGGTTAACTGTGCACAGCTAGCCATTATGGAGAAGAAAATTCTAAAAGACTTTCAATAAGTAATCATATGACAGTTGCCCATAATAAAGGGTTAACTATTTTTGTTTCACTGGGGAAATTACAAAAAAGGAAATACAGAATTGGGGTTTGATATTACCGAATATATCTTGAACTAGCTGTATTTTAGAAGCCATTTCATGATTTGTATTGGGACGATTTCGACCCAATCAATGATTCCCAACAGTGTTACGAGAAGACTGAGATATTATTTCTCCACAGGATCAGTACCAGTTTTTGTACAAAGCTGTCCTCAGCCTAGTCAGTACAAGAGAAGATGAAAACCCTGCAGCTACATTGGAAACCAATGGCATGGCCATGTCTGCCAATGACTGTAATGGAGCAGAAAGCATGGAGTCTCTGGTGTAACAGTGCAAGGAATATCATCACCAGCAGAGGCAAACAAAAAAGAAACAAAATCCTATTTAAGATCCTGTTAACTATACAGGTATCCATTGCAAAATCCTGGTATCCACTTTGTGTCACTAATGAACACCGACTGGTGGGTGACTTTTACATAAAAGAAAAATTGTTAGCAGAAATCGTTTGTGCAGTGTGTGAATGTTTCATTTGCATCACGCTGGCCCGACTGATGTTCGCTGTAGTTGCATTTTCAGCATGTTCAGTGTCAAGTTCCATGGTCTGCTTCCAGTCTGTAACAATTTAAGTGGGTGGGGGGGTGGGGGGGTGAAGAGAGAGGGGATTGGGGGGCATCCATGACAGTGTCTTCTAAAGAAGTTTCTGGAAGAGAATATTGAATGCAACATCAATGGTTACTAGAGTGCTGCTGCCCAAGACTTGTTTCTCTATTTTCTACAATATCAACACCATTTAAAAGACCAACATTCAGCAGTGCTCAAGCAGTGTACTGTATGTACAGAATGAAATAGCAGTGTTGATTAAGTCTGGATAATATGGATATCATATTGTTAAAGAAAGAAAATTAATCTTCTAATACATAATGTAAATAGTAGAACAATGAACCTGTCCATGGACCAAATCTCTATTTATAATTCTAGATTTTTATATTTTACTACAGAGTCTTTTCTAGTCTTTTTTGATGTTCTGACTACATGGTCGTTGTAGATGGCAATTTATTAATGTTTAAACATGTCTCTAATTCAGCTTTGGTTCTAAATCTCATGTCAGATGTTTATTAATGACTTATTTGATGTAATTTTACAAATAACAGCATGCAATTTTAACACTACTTGTACAACAGAAATAGTAAGTTCTAGAAAGACTTCTCACAGAAAAGTTCCAGATGATGTGTGATTTGGTTGCGACTGATGTTTTTACATTATGGCTACTGCAGAAGAATTAAAAATATGAGGTTTATCAGCTGATTAGCACTGGCTGTCATTATTGGGAGTCTGCCAATAGCACCTCGTGAGGCACATCTATCAATATGTCTGGAGTTAGAGATTAACTTTCATATCTGCAGCAGCTTTACAGCATCCTGACTTCTAAAAATAAAAAAAAACACCTACCCAATGTCAGTCCCACATTTAACTTCTGGTCAAAATGCAGAATTAGGAATGTCCATTACAATATCAGGACTCTGGAAAGAAAATTATTAATAAAGTAATCCTTTTTGTATGATAGAAATGCAGTTTGAAGTTTAACTTCAATGCATTATCTAGCAAGTCTGCTTAAAACATAAATGTATTAACTCCTCTCCCTGCATGTTGCTCAGCACACAGGTAATTCAATTCATTTGCTATCTGTGTAAGTTACTCTGTCAATAACCACACCCTTTGTTATCTTAATATGCCATAATTTGTGCTTTGCATTTTATTTGAAGCCTGAAAGAAAAATTTTGGCATTCTACTTATGAAAATTACATTTTCATCTGAAAAGTCAGTAGTTAAGCAATGAATAGCAAGAACACTAAGTAAGAACATTGGATGGCATGTTGTCTAACTGGATTAGAGCCATTTTGAACTGGCTCAGTGGTTAGCATTGCTTCATCACAGCGCAGGATGTATGAGATTGAAAATATGGGAATTGGTGGAGATGCAAAAAAAAAGTGGCTAATTTAAAAGTGAAATAATAAAATGGTAATCAAGGGGATTTTAGTTATGTACACAAACTGGAAAAACAGGGGTTGCTCTCCTTCTGATTGATAGAGGTGAGTTGATAGAGCTGTTCAAAATAATGAATGGTTTAGATAAGTGATTGTTTATTCATAGTCACTGAGGGTCTGTTGCAAGAAAACCCAGAAGCAACGTTTGTGATCTGGAATATACTAACTGAATGGGTAATAAATGAAAATTCTGTAGTCACAATCTAAGGGAATTTGGATGAATACTTGAAGTAACTTGATTTTAAAAAAAAACACTTTGGATAAAATGAAAACTGATTGCAAGACCCTACCAAAGCACAAGTCTCTTCTCGTGCTGTATCATTCTGACTGCTGCCTGTTTCTACTGCCCACCTCGGTCTCTAATATATATCCGAATAGCATGTTAAGCACTTCGGTTGGTTTTTGATGCAGGAATTTTTGCTCTGTCCTTTTCATCTGTGTCTATTTCACAGACTAAATCACTAAGTGCAGCATTTTAAAGACTTTAGTGAGAGAAAAATCATAGAGAGGGGGTGGAGAAACAAAGAAAAAAAACAACAGTGTAAAATTTAACTCGATTATTTCAAAAAATGCAAAGAGGATTTTCACGTACGAAAAATCTAAGAACATATTAGAAAGCTATTGTATTACCAATACAGAAGTTAGGCAACTGTTAGATAATATTTCTACATGTATTCTTGGGCCTTAATGTGATGGGTGCATTTTTTTTTTGCAAACATTGTAAACAGACAAAAGTACAGGTTGTTAGAATTAAGTGATCAGAATTTTCTAAGATACCCCTTTCCCCAGATGATGCTTTTACAACTGGCATAGATGAGCACAAATTCTCAAAATTTTATTGAATAAGGTTGCACATTGTGGGGTGGGGACGGGGGGGTAGTTAAAAAGGAAACACTTCCCATGAAATGCTTTGATAACATCTAATGTTTTAACACCTGTGACTTTTGAAGTTGAAAAATTTAATTAAGAGGGAAGTCGATATTTAAACCCCGAGACTTCTCCAGGAAGAATTAAGAGAAAAGCCCTAGCTTTTAAACAGTTTTTCAAACCATAAACATCATTTCTGTAGCAATGTTGAACCTTAAAATATTCTAAGATACATTGAGTGAGACAAGATCATGCAAAGAAGCATGATTTAATCTGTGTATAGAAAGAAGTCTCCACACAAAGTATTACCAATAAATTGTACACTGTATTGAAACCATTGGATAATGGTCAGCTTTATTCACAAATCTGAAAAGCTGTCTGATGTCACTTTTTTTTTAAACAAATAAGTCCAGGATTATTATTTAATTATTGCAACTTGCAGTCTGCAATGATTAAAACTGCAATGATTAAAAGTGTCATTAAGTTTTGCATCTTTTTACTTAATCATGATTGACTACGCCAGAAAATCTCGCCAAGTGGTTGTCTGTCCAAAGAAAGACCAGCAGCAGCGAGTGGACAAAAGAATTTCACAGGAGCAATTTGGAAGTTTCAGTTAAAAATGTGCTAAGTACTTCTGGAAAATTTAAGATTGGAATATTACTGAATAATTTCCATGTCATGAAAAGGTACTGCTTGAGGTGTACAAAATGCCTTCAGCCTTGATGCGATCCAGAATTGGTTGATAGATATCTTTGGTCATTGGACCAAGTATTCCTTTAGTGGAGATTTCACCTATTAAAATACAATGAAATTTCAACAATGTAAAGGAATTCAAAGTAGCAAGTGGCTTAAGCATAATGACTTTTGATGGTGGGTGAAGAGGAAAGTACATATCAGATTAAGGCAGTTATCAACAAACAAACGAACAAACAAAGGGCAAACATGTTCTGTCATTATTATGTCTAATAACTACAGGCTTAACACTCCCACCAAGCACACTCACCAACTGAATAACACTTACAGTTTTATTTTTAAAAGTCTTGACACAGTTACATTAAAATTATACCACTAAAATAGGTGCTTATTCTCCCCAGGCTCTTCCCTCCACCTTACTTCATTTAATACTATCAAAATAATCTTCTGTTTCTTGCTTTCTCATCCATTTATCTAACTTCCCACTAAATGCATCTGTCTTTTGCCTCAACTGTTACAAATGGCTCCACATTTTAGCCATCCTCTTTGTAAAGAAGTCACCCTGAAGTTCCTTATTGGATTTACTGGTGTCAATTAATAACAACCTTTGTTTCAGATTCTTCAAGTGGAAATATTTTGTCTTCATTTATCCTATAAAACCTTATAATAATTTAAGGACCTCTAAGCCTCACACCTCCCACCCTCTCTCAGCATGTTCCTGATAATTACAACATAACAGTTTTTCAACAAGCTCAACACTGATTGGGAATGGCGTCTGCATTGGCATTTCTGCCTGTAATCCTTAGCCAAGAAATTGGTTCTGCAATTATTATTCATGTCTGCAGCACCATATCTTTCTTTTTTGTCACGAAGCATGAACCTAAGAACAGATTAACTGGTCATTTGACCCAGTTGTGTTTTATGTTATTGATTGGGATGAGGTGGTGATAGTGGTAACGTCATTGAACTAGTAATCCAGAACTCAGGCCTCTGTTCTGGAGACATGGGTTTGAGTTTCTTCACGGCAAATGGTGAAATTGGAATTCTATAAAGACGCTGAAATTAAAAGCCAGTTTAATGGTGACCATGTAACCATTTTTTGATTGCCATTAAAAGTAAAATCTACTTTAGTAATGTCCTTTTAGGGAAGGAAATCTGCCATTCTGACGTGTTCTGGCCTACATGTGACTTCAGACTCAGAAACATATGGTTGATTCTGAAGTGCTGTCAGAACTAGCCCTAGGGATGGATAAAAGAAACATTGCTCTTGCCAACCACGTTCACATCCCATACAAAAAAGGTTATTTCTCAGAACACCAAGAGAATAGTGTGATGAAATTGCTATACCTACCTAGATGGGCAGGAAATGAGCAACAGGCTTTCAGTGAACCTGGAACCTCCAACAATGCAACACATTCAATAGTGCATTAACATCAACCCAGATTATGGCTTTGAATGCACAAAGTTTCTAAGAACAAGATTAATGTCTCTACATCAGTCCAAATTTGCCTGGGACTGTGGGGGTAAGGGATGTATTCGTATCATTTTTGTCTGGGATATCTGGTTCAATGTGTAAATTTTCATTAGGGTCCAGAATTTGTCATATAATAGTTCAGCACAGCCACGGAAACCAAAAGTATGCTGAATCAAGGGAAGCATCAGTATGATCATTGAACATATCACTATGAACAAGTTAAAGGAATTACCATCCAAAACCATCTCAGCACTGATGGCACAGGGGTAGCCAACAGTTTTTGCCATTGCTGAGAAACCACCAACATCACCATAGACCACCAGACTATCGTGTTTAGTTTCTAGTTGACCCGAAGGGTGTCTAATGCCAACACTGTTCCTCAAGATAACCAAGTCTCTTTCACCAGGAGCTAAAATAAAACAGATAATGTTCAAACAAGGATGTTAGGTAACTGGAATCAAAACCTGTTTTCAAATATTCATATTGAAGATAGAGGATCACTGCTCCACATCTTCTCAACTAAACATATTGCCCATTGAAATTCAGCTGTATAAATGAATGTTAGTCCATTCATTAGATGTGGATAATGTGGAGGTGCCGGTGTTGGACTGGGGTGGACAAAGTCAGAAATCGCACGACACCAGATTATAGTCCAACAAGTTTATTTGAAAACACAAGCTTTCGGAAACTCAGTCCTCTTTCAGGTGATCTTTCCCTTCATTCGTCACCTTACACCTGAAGGAGGTCTGAGGCTCCAAAAGCTTGTGTTTTCAAATAAACCTGTTGGACTATAACCTAGTGTCATGTGATTTCTAAATGTGGTTGAACAGACCACTCCAGTACAATAGCAATCTTAACTTAGCATAAAGAACAAAGGTAGGAATGGATCATATATTCCATTGAAATACGATCATGACCAAAGCACTATGAAATCATCTTCACACCTTATACCCTTGATCCTTGATTATGCCAAACAATCAGCACTGTCCTCTCATGCAGCATGAATGTTGTCTATTCTTAATTTGGTATTTCTTCCAAATTATCCTGATGAGTACAAGATGAAAAGCTTCAACAAGAATTTTTTTTACAACAAAACTCAAGAATTATAGCCTTGGGGACGTGATTGTAGAGTTGATTTAAACCTGTCCCTATTGCAGAAGGGCTGACACAGATGGCAACAAACAAGTGATCGTTCTCCACCTCAACCTTTAGCACAAGATGGACAATTTTCACTGAAATGATTAGTTGAGATTTCCTATTAATATGCACAATGGTAGTTTGCTACTGATACATATTTATAGCATAGAGAGTGAATTTGAATGATGCCAACTTGTGTTTCTCAAATACGCTAGGAATTTCTGGAGTCTCAAGGTCTTGCTGTTCCACACTTCATCAACTGGATGAGATGGCAGTTGTATAGTTTTAACTAAAACCAGCAAATTCTGTTGAGATAATAAGACAGATTTCATCTAAAAGAGATTTGTTACATACATTGTCTGATTTACTTTATTTGCAGCACAGTTGTTTTAATTTTAGCATTTTAGTTCCCCACCCCCTATTAAACTTATCATCTCTCTTATGAAGGTAGTGACCACCTTCTCACTGCTATCAAGTGCAAATTTAGTTGACCAAATGAAATTTGATGCTCGAACAGGACTGGAAACTGTTTCGAGTGAAAGATTCCATACCTTCCTCGTTATGCACACAGTTCAACTAAAATTTTAAAGCACTTTATTGGTTGTGATGTGCTTTGCGTGATCATGACAGACACTATATTAATACAAATATTTCCATTCTTAGAATTTATTTTTAACACAAAATACTAAGAATAGAAAAAAAAATTCTTAAGTAACTTACCAACTAATATCCAATGATATTGCTATTTAATGAGTTAGTGGGATGGACTTAGCAGCAAATGCCGATATGGACTTCTCATAAATGGAGTTCCAGTGCATATCTAAATGTCCAGGGGTTTAGCTAAAGGGCTAAAATTTTGATTTGAATTTAAAAGCAAGGTGTTTCAATTCTGTAAGTCACGCCTTTTCTTCTTATTTATAATTCATTTTTTGTAATTTCATAATGCATTATTTGAAATAAAAAGAAGTTGGTAAATTCAGTAAAGTTAAAACTTAACAAACTGTAATGCTGTTCATACCATAGGCAAGTTTGGGCTCAATGTGCTTTGCAAAAGTTTCTAGAAGGCTCTGTTCTTTCCGAACTGGTTCATCTTCGAACAGCCCAAGCCTTTATCAAAAGCAAATAAATGTCACAATGAGCATTTGACAGATTCGTAGCCATTTAAAACAAACAGTCTTTTAAATTGGAAACATGTTCTCTATTTCATCATATCTTTAGGGTGTGTGTGTGTGTGCGCGCACGCGAGAGAGAGAGAGCAAAGAGAAATGTGAGGGGCAAATTCTCTGCTAGTTGGAGTCATAATTAATACAAAGATGACTGTAGTTGTTGGTCAGTCATCTCAGCCCAAGACATTTCTGCAGGAGCTCCGTGGTGCTCAGTTTCAGCTACATCATCAATGATCTTCCCTCCATTATAACATTAGATGTGGAGATGTTTGCTAATAATTGCATAATATTCAGCAGCAGTTGCAACTCCTCAGATACTGAAGCAGTCCATGTCCATATATATAGTGTGGCTAGAAGAGCAGCAGGTCAGGGACCAGGAATTCTGTGGCATGTTACTTACCTCCTGACTATCCAGTATCTACGATGCATAAATTACAAGTATGATGGAATACTCCCCACTTGCACGGATGAGGACAGCTCCAACAACACAAGGAACTTGACAACATCCAGGAGAAAGCTAGCCCACTGAACTGATACCACATCCACAAACATTCACTCTCTCCACTGACGCTCTGTTGCAGCAGTGCATACCATCTACAAGATGCACCTCAGAAATTTGCCAAGGTTCCTCAGACAGCATGTTACAAACCCACAACTGCTACCATCCAGAAAGGATAAGGGCAGTAGATACATGTGAACATCACCAGCAAATTCCCCTTCAAGCCACTTACCATCCTGGAGTTGGAAATATAGTAGCATTTTTTTCCACTGTCATTGGAGCAAAAATCCTGGAGCTCCCTCCCTACTGGCAATATGGGTCTACCTAAAGCACATGAACTGCAGCAGTTCAAGAAGGCAGCTCACCATCACATTCTGACGGACAGTTAGGGACAAGCAATAAATGCTGATCCGGCTAACGATGCTCGCATCCAATGAATGAATAAACAAAAAGTTAAAATGGTCACACAGATTCAGAATGAATATAAGATTCTAAGTTTATCAGAATCCTGACTTAACTTTAGTGGAAACCCCAAAGAGACTAACAAATTTTCACAGAATTTCAATGTTTGTATAACAGCACAAGCAGAGTGTGAAGAAGATATCACTATCCTGTTCTCTCCACAAGAACTCAGAAATATAGCATACTTTCATATGGGAAATCTGGCTACTGCTCTAGTAAACAGTTGAATTACAGTGAAGGAATTAGAGCTGTATCATCTTTCAATTGCAAAGGTTTCTATCACCACTGATTGATCAAAGCAGATAAATACTTGGCAACTCTTCCTTCTCCACACAGTCCTGAAGGTGGCGAGTTTGATTTTCAGAAATATTCCCCATCCTGCTATAACCTCTGCCACCCTCACCCTCTTGCACCCTTAAATTGTGTTCCCCAAGTCCTCAGCCAGACTGCTAGATCAACTGCTACACAAACATGAATAGGCATAGGACATATACATTGTTTGGCTCGCTGCTATGACATCAATTTATCACTGAACTGATTACCAGCAATACTAATCGAAAACTCTGGCCTTGTTGGAAAACTGGAGTGGAGTCAGTGAGTAACCTTTAAGAATCAAGAGTAGAAATAAAATCAATGTTTGTCTCACCATGTCAGAGTGCTCATTCTGTGATCATCTCTTCCAATCTTATCATAAACAGCTTCTTGGAGGCTTTGGAAACTACTGGATGGCGCAATTTCCACCAAGTTACACATCAGTTCTCTCTGTTCAACAAACATTAGAGTTTCAAACAGTTTGAAAAATAACAAAGAAAGCACTTTCTATTCTCATGGTACACTGTTAAACTTATATATCATTTCAATTAAGTGCACCATTACTGGTTAGGAAAATCCTGAATGTGTTTCCCAAACAAAGTGAATATCTTTGTTGTTTTCAAAAGATATATACAAAGTTAAAGCTGTTGTTTTAACACACAAGCAGCAAGGAGTGTAATCTGATAAACAGGACTGGGGCGGGGTATGTTGCATACATAATATAGCACAAGTGCATGAAGGGACCGGGACTGTAGCAATCCTAGTCTCTCGCTCAAAAAACCAGGACTGCTTTTAGTAAACAGCTCTCCATGTTGGAAATCAATGTTCTCTTATTACACTTAAAAAAAATTAAATAATGATAAACAAAAACAATTTCAGCTCTTCTCAAAAACCTTCAAATCAGAATGTTTGGAGAAAAAAAGTACTTAAAATAAATTATAAAATAGCTTTAAAAAAAATGAACCAGATACTGTTAGTAACACAGTAATTTAAAAAAAAAATTCATTCATGGCATGGGGCATCACTGGTTAGACCAGCATTTATTCCCCATCCCTAATTGCCCAGAGGGCAGTTAAGAGTCAACCACATTGCTATGAGTCTGGAGTCACATTTGTGCCAGACCAGGTAAGGATGGCAGTTACCTTCCCTAAAGGACATTAGTGTACCAGATGGGTTCTTCCGACAATCAACGATGGAATCATAGTCAACATTAGACTTCCAGATCTTTTCTAGTATAAATTCCACCATCTGCTATGGCGGGAGTCGAATCTGGGTCCCCAGAACATTATCTGGGTCTCTGGATTAACACTCCAGCGAAAATACCATGACCTCCCCAGTTTAGTTCAGAAATAGGATTAGTGAAGGACAGCGTTCCATATTTCAGCAGTAATCATTGCACACTGAGCATCAAAATGTCTCAGAATAAATCTGTTACTTTTCATTGAATTGTTTTTTAGACATATTCAGACATACCCAAGTTATCGGAGGAGCTTCAGGACTAAGTAGCTGGCATTGGTCAGGATTGATCAATCCCAGTTTGTGAAATCCTTTCACTACATTTGCATATCCCTGAAAGAGGACACAGGACAATACGTATTCAGGTCACTTATGTCTCATTACTGGTCTGCACTGCAAATTAAAAAAATCTTCAACAGATTAAGCATCATCCAGGATCAGTCTTGTTTAAGGTGCTTGACATTGTTTCCTCTGGAATAGATGACGGCTGTGGTGAATATTTAATGAATCAACTTCTTTGCTAAGATGATGAAAATGGTTAAATCTTTCTTTTACAAAATCGTGAAAGCTAATTCCCTAAATCCACTAAAATCTACAGGAAAGCCTACTCAGCCAAGAGGTGCTGGATTATTGCTCATATGGATTTGGAGCAGAAAACAGATGCTGGTATTAAATATAAGACAAGAAATAATCTTCACGAAAATAGGCCTATTAAAAGCCATAGCTATAAAGGAACACAAAAACCTTAAATCTGTCTGGGAAATAGGGTAAAAAATGAAAAAAAAAAAATGAAACTACAAGACAATTTATTTCTCAGTGAAGCCCAATGCTGAGAAAAACATTCTGAAGTGAATTCTGAGCATTAGTAAATTCAACAGACCCATGAAAACATGTCTGAATGCTTCAATAACGAAAGTATCCAGGAAAGAGGGAAATGCAATAGTAGTTTGCATTCATACAGCACCCTTATACAGTGAAACTTGTGCAGCATCACAGGAGCATTAACAGAGAACATTTCACACCAAACAACACGAGACAGGAGAGGTGATTTTATCAAAGAAATAGTTTTTAAACAAGTATCTTAAATGAGGGGGAGATAAAAAAAAAAAAGAGATTGGGGAGAACAGAAAGGTTTAGGAAGAAATTCCAGAATGGAGGACCCAGACAGCAGAAAACATAGCGGTCAACGATGGAATGATGAAAACTGGGGATGTACAAGAGGTCAGAATTGAAGGAGAAGAGAGATTTAGGAGAATTTGAGAGCCGACAGACACCACTCCATGCACACATTAAAGGTCAGGAGAGGTGAAAAATCAGAAAGTTGATTGATACAGAACTTATGTCACTGCATTCTCAAATACAACCACTGATCAACACAGCCAATGACAACAAGTTTTTCTTGTCCTTTGACCACATTGGCGCACCAGCTGAAAGCGAACATTTAGCCTTTTCTAGTGATGCATTGCCAGGGAGAGGGAAAGAGAAAGACAGCATGTGAAAGAGAGAGACGGAATGTGTGTGAGTGAGAGACAGAGAAAGAGAGAGAGAGAGAGTTCAGTAAAGAAGAACATCCAGACTATAGGAGTACTAAGTAATTCCTTCACAGTAAGCAACAATATTGGCCATTTAATGACTCATCTGAAAGTTAGTTTCCAACCTCAGTGTGTTACATTGCTCAAAATGAATCTGCAAGAAAATCGGTCTATCATATGTCATATGAGCATCATAAGCAATTACAGTAAGTTCGTTCAATGTAGATGGAGAATGGAAAACAATGCAATGAATTTTAATAGAGATTACAAAATGCAATAACAGATCTCTTAATATATCCAGGAGGTAAAGTAGGAACAAAAAGAACAGACATGTACCATTCAGTGCTCTCGTCTATTCCACAATCCAGAGAGAGATCATGGCTAATCAATTTATTTGCCTCTCTTGACTCCAGATCCCCACCCCAGCCTAGCAAAAAAAAAAATCTATCAATCATAGACAAAAATTATTGACTGAACCACTACCTTTTGTGGGACAAAATTTCACACTTCTACCATCACCGTACGAAGAAGTATTTTCTAACTTTTCTCCCAAATGGCTGACACTGATTTTAGGATTAATGTCCTTTGTCCTGGATGACCTCACCACCAGGAAATGCTTCCCTGTTTCTGCCTTTCCAATTCCTTTCAAAGTTCCTAAATCCTCAATTCATTCATTCATGACCTTCTATGTTTTAGCATACATCTCCTCATAATACAACCCCCACAGTCCTGGGAACATTTCAGTGAAACTGCACTGCATCCTTCCAAAAGCCCAAGCACAGGTCCTTGTGGTACTCTTCTTCCAAATCGCGTATGTACCTGTTCTTCCTATTCTCCATCATCTTGCCTATTTCCAAGTCAGATTAATAATTTGCTTTTTCTAACAAGAATTTCCATTTTAGGTAATTCTTTTAAGTGGAATTGTGCTGGGTGTCTTCTGGAAGTCCAGTTAAACTATATCTATAGACATTTCCTCTTCACTAATGTAGTTACTTCCTCAAAATATTAGATTCATTATACGTAACATGTACATCGAACAAGATTGCAGTAATTGTCTCATATTTGGATGAAGACAGTTAGCCTGCTTCTTGTTTTTGTATGCTAATTTTTTTGTATGCTTTTCACTTTCGTTCTGCACTGCTGAATAACAGCAATATGAAAATTAAAAGTCAAATGTGTAAGTTTCACCCTATAGGACACAGTCTCTCCGTCAGCAAGTCCTCAATGCGTGCCTCCTTTTGGTGTCAAACTGAAACTAGGTCCCTTGTGGCCCCAAGTTAAAGATCCAGGGGAACTCTGAGGAGGCTTGTGCCCCAGACACGCAGTGTGTAATTCCAATGTCATGTGGTTAAACCCTGGCACTCATGAAACAAACTCCCAGAGATAAGCAAATAACTCCACTACCTGTGGATGCCTCAGGAGAGTGAAGGCTAAGAGAGCAAATCCTGACAAAAGTCTGGAGTGGTGCACTCGGCAAAACCAATGTCCAAATATGTCATCTTTCTGTCAACTGTTGAACTCAAACACATGCCAAAATGTAGTACTTTGCATTAAAATCAGAAATTTCTGGAAAAGCCCAGCAAGTCTGGCATCATCTGTACAGAGAAATCAGAGTTAATGTTTCGGGTCCAGTGACCCTTCCTCAGAAGAGTACTTTGCATTTTGCGTTCTTTTGATTCCAACTAGAGAGATTGGAAAGGGATACCTCGAGGTTTGCTCTCTTAGATTTCACGCAGGATAGTGCCCTGGAGAGGACATTCTAGTTCTACAGCAGAGCATTAATGTAACCCAGGAGACAGCAGTTACACATTGCAGAATAGACTAACGCACAGGACAGGTGCCGGGGGCTGTCTCTGACAATGGAAAGAACCATGATAGCCTATTGGTTGACCAATACTCATCTCTTGACTGGTCAGAAGCTCATTTTCCATGGTCCATCTCCTTCAGTGAGTGCTTGGAGGTTACAGTCTCCAGTCAACAAGCAATCCAACGCTTCAGGCAATTAAATAAAACAAGTTGAAGATGCCACCTTTTGATTGGTCCTGATGTGCCAGCTTGACAATCTATAGGACTGAAAGACCACTTACAACTGGTTGATAATGTGGAAAAGTAGCAGTGATCAACATATACCCTGATAGGCTGAAAGTCAACACAACCTTCTTCGAAGAGACCGGGCTCGTCGAGAGTGGATAACTAAAAGCAAAACATTACAATAGAGGAAAAGCTGACTCGAGCACTGAAATGATGTCCCTTGTGCCAAGGTCCTACCCAGACAAATAAAACAATAGTTCTGCAACTCAATTGAACAAACGTGCTCCAGCATTCCCATACACAGTGCAGAAAGGAGATAGGGTGCTGTCTTAAAGTGTATTCTATCTCTGGGAGGGGCCCAGTGCCACACAGGATGTGTGTGGCGCAAGGATTATTTTATCAGTACAGCAGGAGACTATTATATGCCATCTTCATAAATCTCATGATGGCATCGAACCTATTTAAACTAATGGAAAAATTTAACTGAAGCTGTTCAATGAGATTTCTCTTCTTCGAATGACTGCATGATACGCAAGGTTAAGAATGACAGGACAACATCAGAACTGCTCGAGATCCACAACAGGATTAAAACAGGGCTGTGTTACATTAATGATGCTCTTTGACTTGTTCATCTTTGCCCTTTGTCATTAATCATCAGGGGTCACACTTACGTAGCAAAAGAAAAAAAAAGGTTCAGCCTCACTTGCCCGAGATACAAGAGAGAGGGAGAGGTGCCAAATCATCAGAGACTTGCTTAAGGCCGACGATATTGAATTGACCGGACCAGACAACACTACCCTTTTGACTGAACCCAACCCAACCCAACAACCCGTGGGTCGGGCCCACCCTCCGACCTGACCACCCCCACCAGTCCCCACCAGTCCCAACCACCCCCACCACTCCCAACCACCTTCAGCTCTCATCCAAACTTCTTGATACCAATACCTATCACCCACCTGGCATCCTATTCCCTACCCACATGGCACTTGCACCCCCATACTGAGGATCACTTTCACCAGCACCTTTCTGTTCCAATTCCTGATGAAACTCAGCTCCTCAGCCTTGGATAATAAGTTCCAGGTGTTCCACACATTTTCTGCTGATGGTTTACAACTTTTCACCTCAAACTGAGAATTTTGAAGTTTTCACTTTTTACCTTGTATCTGAGGGTGCCCCGTAACAAGGTACGAGCTGATTCAATGCTGTACCATGTTGCGTATTTGAGACTGTTCCTGTTTGGTATACCCTCTAGGTTGAAACCTGGGAAGGCAGCCATTGGACTTGCACTGTCAAGAATAGCACCTCCAGCCGGGATGTCAACTACCTGCAGATTTAACAACGTACAAAAAGCACAAAGTTTAAAAAGTGAACTGGAGAATCCTTTGGGTTGCTGTGCAATAACAGCTTCAGAATTCAGTTGCAAAGTTCACAATTTTGCTGGCAATACCAAAGGATATCTCAATTAGCTTTTATAAGGGTGTTACACATAGTGAGCTGTTATCCCATGTTCAACCATAGTGGCGAACAACATACTGGACATGAATTAGAAGAATACTGCCTCCTAATATCAGTTTATTTATACGTCATTACAGATTAAAGTTTCAAAATGTAATATGACTGAAAATGGCCAAGAAAATCATTGCCTCAATGAAAACATGCATCTCAATAATTCAAAGACAGTGGTTCTCCCACTGTTGCAACATACAAATGGGCACCATGTGGAAGTTCCAACATTACCCAGGAAATAGAAACTTTCAGTGGGCACTTCCCCAGCATCTGGAAATCTCTTGAAAACATCCCCTGAGCTAGAATCAGAGATTTCAGAGGTTCCAACTTATTTACCTTAATACTTACACAAAAAAGGTTAGAGAAATTAAAGGCTGCTCTATGTTTATCAACCCCATCCCTTCAGACACCTGATACCTATCCCCCTAATCTGGCAACACCTCACTGTCCCCCTCAACCGTTCACTGATTCAAACCCCAACACCACCTCCAAATCCCATTCCCCGCAACCCCACCATCGCAGCACCTACCCCCCCCATCCCAACACGCTGGCACCCAACTCCCACAGACCCTCTAGACCTGGTACCTGTTCTCCCAAACTCTGGTTCCTCAAGCTCCTGATCCCTCATGGATCTGACCCTCTCCACCCACGAACATCCAACCTTTCAACACCCAAACTCCCCAGATCTAAGACAACACTGCCAGCAACAACACTATCCAACCCCCTGAATCAACTGGACCTGACAACACTACCCTCTGGACTGAACCTGACCTAACAGGCTGTAACTACATCCACCCTCCGACCTGACCACCCCACCACTCTTAACCACCTTCAGCTCTCATCCAACCTTCTTAATATCAATACCTATCGTCCATCTGGCACCCTACTCCCTACCCACCTGGCACCTGCACCCCCATACCCACCTAGAACATATGTCCCACCTACCTGGTTCCTCACCTCACCCACTAGGCACACATTACCCTCTCCCCCATCCAACTGCTACCCTACCCCATCATCACCTTGTACCCTTTAACACACATAGCTCTCCATACCCCTCACCCTCCTGGCAACCAATCACCCACCCACCTCTCACCCTACACACAGAATCAGTGATACAGTGCAGTAGGAGACCATTAGTCCACATCTGCACTGCCTCTTCAAATGAGCGTTATGAATTAATGCCAATCTCCTGCCTTTACTCTGTAACCATGCACGTTATTTCTACTCAAGTGAACAACCACCTCAAATGAACCTACATCCGCCACACTCTAAGTAGTGAATTCCAGACCTTAACTACTCAGAAGTTGGAAAAATCCTGCATAAGATACTACACCATGTCAAAAAAATCCTTAGAACATGTGCTATCAGATCCAATATGCATAGTAACTGATAAGCTACAAAAGGATGTGCTCTTTGTGATAATTTTCAAACTAACTATTGCAAGAGTTGTTTGACACGGAGACGTAGATTGCCCTAAACAAACAGGTAGGGATCAATTAACTAAAAAGTAATGTTTTACCTTTCCATCCTTTAAATAGGTGGCTGGGCGGATTGTATTTAACAGAGCTCCAGATGGACTCCAGCTAAACTTGTACCCAAGGGGGTTATCAGAACATTCAGGGGCAGGGAGACCTCCACAGAATGAAACAAAAGACTCTATCTGAAGAAAGAAAAATAAATTACACCAAAGTAAATCAAGGCCCATAAAAAGGCAAAGCACATTTCAGTTTAGATCTTGATGTGAAACGTGCCTCACTGTCAGTATAGATGACTTTTAATAAAACCTGTCTACTCACACAACTTATGAAAACAAGTATTACCAACCCTTCACTTTATATAGTCTGACATGTTCCCACGATCCCCAACCAAATGCCACACATTGAATCAGTCCAACAGCAAGGCAGAGTGGATAATGTTCCCATGTAATTTCTACTTTATTCAAGTCCCACTGTATCATAGGTAGCGTTCATCATTGCAGTTATCTAGATATCACCACATAACAGGTAAGTCTGATTTCAAAAGTAATTTTTGCTTTGATACATAGACTAATTAACAGAATTTAAAAATTTAAATTCCCTGGCAAACGTACTCTGAATGCAAATTGGGAGTTGATCCATTGTGGAGATAAATGGCTTCAAATAATAGCACTCACCAGTGAACCTTGCTCTTTTGCTTCATCAAAGCGTTTCATCGCCAGCATGTGGTCAATCCCTGGATCCAGACCAACCTCATTTAAAACAGTAATCCCAGCATCCAGTGCACTGAACAAGATATAAGCAATAAAAGAAAATGTTCAAAAGTAATCATGAGCTCTTCTTCCTGGTAATTCTCACAATGTGTCAGGTTAATGTTTAATTACTTTCCAGGGATTGATTAGCTCCAAGTCAAGTTTGCTTAAAACAGGAAAACACAAATTATTTCAGCAAAGCAACTGATTTGTGTGTGGGGCTGCAGTTGCACAACAGGCTAACTACCAGAGTCTATACTTACAACACATGGCATCCTTAAAAGGAGAACTATTTCAAAAATAAAGGTATGCATACAACATTCCCCTCATTTCCAAAAAAAGTCTGATTATTTATAACAACAAGCAAGGCTACAGTGTTGTTGATGCATCCAGATCTCATGACTGTCACAACCTACAGCACGGTCAGTGATGTTGTCTGGTCTTCTTGACCATGTTGTCAATTTTACTTCTGGGATTGCAGTTGCTGTTCTAGAATTTGCTTGCCCTTCTGCACTGGACAAGTCTTTTTTTTTTTAAAACCAGTTTAACTACTGATGGATCAGATCCCTCCAGCCGTGCCAAGTCATTCAAATCTTCTTCCTATTTTATCCGTTAAGAGCTTCCGGCTTATTTTGATGTAAAATAGAATCACAGAATCCCTGCATTGTAAGGTTAGTCAAAAGAGAAAGAAGCATACGACAAATCTAGGCAGCTACAAACTTACAAAGTCCTGGAGGAGTACAGAGAAATTAGAAAGGAACTTAAATGCACAATTAGGAAGGCAAAAAGGGGCCATGAAATGTCTTTAGCAAACAGGGTCAAGGAGAATCCCAAGGCTTTTTATTCATATGTTAGGAGAAACAGGATAACAAGGGAAAGAGTAGGCCCACTCAAGGACGAAGGAGAGAAGTTATACGTAGAGCCACAGGAAGTGGGGGAGATCCTGAATGAATACTTTGTATCGGTTTTCACGCAAGGAGAAGGACATGACTAATGCTGAGGTCAGGGATGAGTATGTGAATACTCTAGAGAATGTCAACATATTGAAAGAGAAAATTTTGGGAATGCTACATTGCATTAAGAGAGACAACTCCCCAGGATGAGATGGGATCTACCCCAGGTTGGTCAGAGAGGCACGGGAGGAAATAGCTGGGGCATTGGCAGATATCTTCACATCGTCACTGACCACAGGTGAAGTTCCAAAGTTCTGGAGATTAGCGAATGTTGTTCCCTTGTTCGAGAAAGGATGCAGTGATTATCCAGGAAACTATAGGCTGGTAAGCCTGATGTCTGTGGTGGGGAAGCTCTTGGAGAAGATACTGAGGGACAAGAGATATGCGCATTTGGAGGAAAATGGACTAGTTAGTGACAGGCAGCATGGTTTTGTACAGGGAAGGTCATGTTTCACCAACCTGATCGAATTTTTTGAAGAGGTGACGAGGATAATTAATGAGGAAAGGGCTGTGGATGTAGTTTATATGGACTTTAGTAAGGCACTTGATACATGGCAGGTTGGTAGAAAAACTAAAATCACAAGGGATTTGGGGTGGCCTGGCTAGATGGATAGAAAACTAGCTTGGTCATAGAAGACAGAGGGTAGTGGTGGAAGGATGTTTTTCAGAATGGATACCAGGAACTAGAGGTGTTCCACAGGGCTCAATCTTAGGTCCTTTGTTGTTTGTAGTAATATATAAATGATCTGGAGGAAAATGTGGGCGGCCTGATAAGCAAGTTTGCTGATGACACGAAGATGGTGGAGTTGCTAATAGTGCCAATGATTGTGAAAGTATACAACAGGATATAGATAGATTGGCTACTTGGGCACAGAAATGGCAGATGGAGTTTAATCCAGAAAAATATGAGGTGATGCATTTTGGAGGATCAAAGTTAGGTGTGAATTATATTGTGAATGGCAGAACCCTTAGGAACATTAACATACAGACAGATCTGGGCGTGCAGGTCCACAGTTCCCTGAAAGTGGCAACACAGGTAGCGAAGGTGATTAAGAAGGCATATGGCATGCTTGCCTTCATCGCCCGAAGCTTGGAGTACAAGAGTTAGCAAAACATGTTACAGCTATATTAAACCCTCGGTAGGCTGCATTTGGACTATTGTGTGCAGTTTTGGTCACCACACTACCAGAGGGACGTGGAAGCTTCGGAGAGAGTACAGAGAAGTTTCACCAGATGTTGCCTGGTCTCCAGGGCATTGACTATGAGGAAAGGTTAAAAAGACTAGGATTGTTTTCACTGGAAAGATGGCGGCTGAGAGGAGACGTGATAGAGCTCAGGTGATATTCACAAGTTTAAATTCATCCTGAGCCAGTTGTTCAGCCATCCTCTTGAACTATCATCTTTTTCTGTCATAGTAGAGAGCATGAATGCAGAAGAAAGTGAAGTGTTACACTCTTCCTTCATATTCAGTTCTGCAAGTATTTCTTAAATAGTCTGCTGCATTTTAGTTTGGTCTCTGGTGTTTGATTGACTTCATGGCATCTTAGTAGATCTGTAACAATTGATGCTACTAATTGTAATAATTACAAGTGTCGTATAGATTTACACTAATATACTTTGAGGTTCATTTTTCATTTCTATACATAATTATCATCATATTATAATTAACGGTTATATGATAAAAGCATTTATTTGTCATGTTTCAATACAAGTGTAACAATATCTAGCACTGTGCTGAGATGTTGCCTATGCATGTCATCACTCTTACAAGCTGCTTTTAAAAGAGTTATTTTTAACTGTAAAAAAAATTACAAATGATTTTCATCAAGATACATGATTGGCTTTAAATCCAATGGTTACGGTGCAGTTTGCATCCTGTAAACTCAGGCAAGCACAACTGGGTAGACAATTGCAGAGTTAGGAAGAAGTGAGTAGGGAAATAAATGAGAAGATGAAGACAGCTCTATAAATGACAATGAATCTCGCGGCAAAGTAAAAAGTAGACTTTGTAATTATTCTGTAGGAATGCTCATGCATGAACCCTCAGTGTGTATTGAAGTCCATTGTTGGGGGCAAAGATTCCATCAGCATTAACAGTTTATACTCTAATACACACATAGCCTAATATCAGCTTAGCAGGAATCAGGATTAAGGACCTGTTGATATCCCACTTGTTACACTGCAACTAACAAAAAAAAGAGATTTATGATGGTAAAGTCTCAAGGTCATTGGAGCTGTACAGCACAGAAACAGACCCATGGGTCCAACTCGCCCATGCCAACCAAGTTTCCCAAACTGAACTAGTCCCACTTGCCTGTGTTTGGCCCACATCCCTCCAAGCCTTTCCTATACATGCATCTGTCCAAAATGTCTTTTAAATGTTGTTACTATACTTGCATCTATCAACTTCCTCTAGCAGTTCCTACCATACACGAACCACCCTCTGAAAAAGGTGCCCCTCAGGTCCCTTCAAAAATCTTTCTCCTTTTACCTTAAAAATATTGATGAGCCTATGTGAAAACTGGCTAAAAGACATTGAGACCTTTCATCATTCCTCCATAGATAGCCAGTAACATGAACCCGTGCACAAAGGACCACAGATCATCATTGTTTGAATTAGTAATTCATGATCTTGTGAGCAGTTGTTTAAAAGGGACCAATACCATGAAGGTTATAATACAACTCAAAACTTAATCACACAAAGTTAAGTTTACATCAAATTCTGAGCAAGTGCAGACAGCAAATTGTTAATGATTAGCCAAGTATATGACAAACATTATACTCAGATGTCTGGATTTTAGATTCAGTGTCCACTTGCTGCTATTAAAATTACACTGCTTGTCATTCCTATCTGCCACTGCTTCTATCAGATTGTTGGACTCTGTTGTCAAGAATAATTTCCATAATTGCAAATCATTAGGAAAATGTTGCTCAGTGCCCCTGTTCAATTCCCGTGATGGCAGCAGCATGGAGTCTAAGCCACTCTGACTAATGCTAGAAACCAGAAATCAGAAGGATTGAGAATATCAACATGGACTGGAGAAGGGGGCATGATAGCTTGAACAAAGCAGGAGAAAAGCAAAATACTTGCCCCACTCCAACCAATGTAAGGGCAAACATATCCATACGAAATAGGAATGGGGTAGGCCATTCAGCCCCTCGAGCAGTCTCTACCATTCAATATGATCATGGCTGCATCACAGTGGAGTAAAGACTGAGGACGTAGAGGAACATAAACAACTCCAAAATGTATCCACAGTAACCCAGTCTCTCTGCATTATATAAATGCTACATCTTATTTCTAATTTTGCACTACGCAAGCAATGAAGCATTGTATATGCCTTGAACTTAAGTTATGACAAGTCCATGTCATATTGCACTTTCAGTGACACATCATATTCAGGGCTGTTCATGAGTTGTCTTTCTTTTTAAATTATTCATTAGTTTGTACCAGGTTAGCTTGTAAATGTAACATCCTTAGATCAGCTACCAAGGTCGCATTTTCTGTCATGTTCTGCATAAAGCAGCTCAGTAGTTACAGGTTTTGACAGCACGAAAAGTCATACCAATTTTGTGCTCATCTGGGCTCACTGCTAAAATTGTATAACTAGGGGGAGTTTTACCAGCATGGCAGGGGTCCTGACAACAGTCTGGACTACCAGGGGTAACCTTTCCTCCCCATTAACAACTATTCATCCTCTTAGCCAGAAGTTATCAACTCCTTTGTCTGTCTAGCTGTTCTTCTCTCTCTTTAGGCTCTATCCTATCATTTACTCCCTACCCCACACTCCCTCCTCCCTATTTTCTGCATATAAACTGACATTTTCCCAGCTGCCATCAGTTCTGAGGAAGGGTCACCGGACCTGAAATGTTAACTGATTTTTTTCTTCACAGATGCTGCCAGACCTGCTGAGCTTTTCCAGCAACTTCTGTTTTCGTAACCTTGCCTCCGTTGTTTATGGGACACCAGTAGCCAATGAGTTGCTGCTGGAGCTCCTCATCCATTATAACACCTAACCAGAGGGCTGACAGGATAACACAAGATACAAGAAAACAGGAAGCCTGATCGCCTCCTCTCCTTGTTATTTCATGACCACCTCCCCTCGCATGGTATTTCCCCACACCCCATCACCAGCATCTCCCAGCTGTTTCTGGAAGGCTGCTAAATTCTGGCCTCTTGTCTTAAATCCCTACCTTGGCCCAAAAACTTCAACATTCTTATCATAAAATTATACATTTATGTCTACTATTGATTCTGGTACAATACGCAAAATCCTGTCAATCCTCCAAGCAGCAATCTTAAACTTTCTTTTTACTCATTTGGTGATAAATTCACATCCTCTACTTAAAGCCACATTGACCAGTCAAAACTATTTTTGCCAATTTACTCTACTGAAATTTCTCAAAACTTTGAACACTTGAGGATTTACAAACATTTTATAAAATTTATTTTGAGGTAAAGTCAATACACTGGACAAATACAAAGCTAAATAGCAATCCATTCAGCTGGAAGTTCAATGACAGAGACTAAAAGGATACAATGGGTAAAATTTCACTTTTGTCCAATTGGCTCTTTTAGCCAATACCAACCTTTTGTGCATTTCTTTCATTTCAGGAGACTGGTAGCTTGCTGTCACCATGTTCACCTTTTGTTCGATGCACTCCTTCAGCACCACAGGATGAAAAACACCAGGCAGCAAACTACACGAGGGAAAGAAAAATCATAAAGATTGTTTCAGAGCACCTACAGATAGGCATTGTCAGTTTGTGACAGACCGGGTCCAGGGGCAAGGGAATCTGTGACAGGCAGGGCAGGACCAGACCATGATCAAACAGTGTGGGACTGTAACATACAGTGCGGGTGGGTGGTAGATGAGAGGTGAGGGAACCGATGACAAGAAATTCAGCTCTGTGCTTCCTTCAAAACAGTGATATGCAGCAATTATTCAGGCTCAAGCTGACAAATGATAATAACATATAAAACTTTCCTCAAATCATCCCCACATGTAGTCTTCCTCCACTTTTGTTTACCCCAAAAATCAAGATTACTGGGAGATCCTATTAAGGTTCCCTGTCTCTTTTCAGTTCTCCCTCTAAACTCTCCAGATGTAAACAGAAATCTTTCCACAATGCATTGAAACATCACCATGGCAGTACCACTACTTTGTCACTGCTCCACAGCTTTGTTCAGCATAAATACACTAATATACTGCACCAAAAACACATTCTTAAACAGATCCCTTAAATAGATAAAACTCCATCCTTGTGAGAACGAAGGTTATGCATTAATTTACTTAGCAGGGTAATTGCCAGATTAAAATGAGGGAAGACATTTCCAATGGCGAGCCTGCTGAAAACAAACGTACACAAATGTAGTGCAGAAAATTAGACAGCATCAAGAAGGGAGGAACATGGTCCAATGCGGATGGGGAGGTGGATGCGTGGAGTGACAAGAAAGGATAATTTCAGGAACAAGTATATTTGCCGGGGAGGAAGGGTGTTCAGTGAAGACTCTGGGAACGTTGAGGGAAGTAGCCATGTGTAGACTGAAGTGGTATAGTCATCAGTTGTTGAACGAGAGAGGAAATGTGAAACAAGTGACAAAAGTGAGATTACTGTGAAGAAGGTGGTGAGGAGGCCTTTGATTAGCTGGAAAGATACAGTGGTGAGAGAGACTTTAGCGAAGTGGAATTAGAAAATGAATGGGGGACTAACAGGAGGAGGATAAAAGCAAGCAACCAGCTTTGCAGCAACACAAGGAAGGGAGAAGACAAAAGAGGGACATGAAGAAAAAGACATTAGGTCTTACAAAGGCAACGAACTAACCTGATCACAAGGTCATGGGATTTCACCAGTGATGAGAGCTTGTCTCTGTCCTTCTTCATGTCCAGTATTACTGGAGTTGTGTGGTTGTACGTGGAAGTCAGTTTTTCCAACTGGTCTTGGAGCGCAGATGCTGTCGAACAAAATAAAATCAGATATTAGCTTAACCTCTTGTTATCTGTCCAATTTAAAAACGTAAAATATGCAAAATGCACTCTTAAGAACTCTCAAGTTTTTTTTGTTAAGTCTTCCAACTAAAATGATATATTTTAAGGAGATATTAAAGCAGTTCTTGTACATGCTCAAACCCTTCATTTTGTTCAGAGAATGATCAGTCCTTATTCCTTTGTGTGTGTCACCTTTGAGAGTGATAGCATTAAAATTTCTCATCTTAAAAGATTGTGTGTTTAAATCCTAACCCAGAAGTTTGATTTCAAAATCTGACTCTCATGCCATAGTGAAGGAATGCTGCACTGGTCAGAGATTCAGTTTTTCAGGAAATCTTAATCTGAGGCCCTGTCAACCCTCTCAGGTTTGGCATAATATTTAAAGTAGAAAGTCATACGGCAGTTCAAGAAGGCTCATCACTTCTTTTTTTAAAAAGAAAGGGCAATTAGGGTTGGACAATAAATGCTGACCTTGTCATTTTTGACTTACACATCCCATGAACACAATATAAATGCCACCTACATTTACATCATTGGCAAAATTAAATATGTGGCTTTCCATCTCATCTTCTAACTTGCTAATAAATGTGTTGAATGTTAGCGGATCAAACATAGATCATCGCAGGACACTACTAAAGCAGTCCATTTCCAAAACATCTGGACATTATCCAGGCTTGGGCTGAAAAGTAGCAAGTAACATTCACAATGCATAAGTGGCATGCAATGATCATCTCCGACAAGAGAGAATCTAATCATCATCCCTTGACATTCAATGGTGCTACCATCACTGAATCATCGTGATCAACATCCTGGGCATTAACAGTAACTAGCCATAGAAATGCAGTGGTTACAGCAACAACTCAGACACTAAGAATCTTACAGTGAGGAATTCACCTCCTGACTCCACAAAGACTGTCCACCACCTATAAACGTACAAGTCAGGAGTATGAAGGAAAACTCCCCATTTTCCAAGTGCATGAGTGCAACTCGAAACAATCCCAAGAGGTTTGACACCATCCAAAACTTGATTGGCACCATATCCACAAACATTCGCTCCCTCCACCACCGATGCTCAGTAGCAGCAGTGCATACATTTACAAGACTTCTTAGATAGCACCTTCTACCAAACCCATGATCACTAATCTTTAGGAGGACAACAGATACATGGGAACATCATCTTCAGGTTCCTCTTCAAGTCACTCATTATCCTGACTTGAAAATATATTACTGTTCCTTCACTGTCCTTAGCTCAGACCACTTCTTGCTCCCTTCCTTAATTATCAGGTATCCAGGCCTATCTTTTTTCTCTCTCCTGCTCTGCTTCCTCACCAAGAAAGCAAGGAAGAGAGAGGTCTAATTAGTTAGTTCTACTTTTTGGCATGCTTTAAATGGTTAATTTTAATTACTCATTGAAGTGAGCGATTTATTGCATTAGGATGTTTCTTTCTTGAATTTGTGTTCATTGCTGTGGTAACACTTGATTTTTTTTATACTTTGGTCACTGACCCCCATCCCTCCACCTGAATGAGAGAAAAATTGAAATGTTGTCCTCGCCACAGGAAAATGTTGGGCAACCCTGAATGAATTGGTCTACGTTCCCTGGTTTTCCCCAGTAACCATTGTTAGGTAGTGGAGCGGAATACATAATTTTTTTTTAAGTCTAAAAGGAACAGTTTACAAATTTAAAAAAAGCTTTTAAAAGATTATCCTTAGGACAACGGCACTGTGCTCACCTACATCCTTTAAAACCCTGGGATGGAAACCATCCAGTCCTGGTGATTTGTCACCCTTTATTTTCACCATTTCTGTTTGCTTTTGTTAATTTGGTGAATCCCCGACTCAATATTAGTCTCCTTGAAATTTCCAACATGCTAACTTCTTCCTCTGACAAAAAGTAATTGGTCAACATGTCCAACATTTCTTTATTTTGACAATATCACCATTATCTCTTATCAGGCAGCCTTGCACCTGACTTACTCCTTTTTCCTCATGTAATTTAATATTTTTTGTGTATTGATTTTGATATGCCTCATGTCTCTTTAGTAGCTCTTACAATCTGTTTGTCACCCTTTGAACTTCTTTGCATTCATCTATATGCCGGGATGGGTGTAATTTTTTTTTTCCATTGCTGCATGCTTTTCCTGTTAATTTTATTGTGTCACTTATCTGCTTAGCTATCCATGGCTGCATTTTTGGCAAGTTGAGCTCTTGCCTGTTAGGGATATGAAGTGATTCTGCATCGTACCTTTTCCCCCGATCACCTCCCATTGATTTTCTGTCATTTTACTGATTCCATTAGCAGAAACGGGAAACTTGATGTGAACAGTTTCTCCCTCATTGTACTGAAGTCAGACTTACCCAAATCTCTCACTTTGGTAGCTTGTTTTGCATTTTGGCTTTCAAACACTGTGATGCATGCCTGCTTTGTAAATGATTTCAACATGACTGTAAGAGCTTAACTTAATCATTTATCAGCTTCAACCTATTGAATCAGCTCAGTTATTTCAGAGATTCAGGACTGTCTTATTTTTTTTTTTAAACCCTGGAATGTGTTTTGTAGATTGATAAAGAGCAATTTTTTTCTGAACATCTTTGTTTTCAAATTAAAAGTATAGGAGACAATTATGGTGCAAACCGAGCAGGAGGGGTATTTGAGAGAATGCTGAAGTAGAATATACTGCTTTTAATTTCTACAATTAGGGAGAGAAAAGGTATTTTCACATATTTTGAGCAATCTTTCCAAAGAGTTGCTAAACGCATTACCGTTGAAACATCACATAAAATATCGTAAGCTACAGTTTTTCCTGTTTTTGGCAATGAGTGAGTTGCTGTGTATTGCCACACAATTTTCAATTGCTGCTTCAGTTTTCCCTTTAGGTCACCAATAATTTTAAATGTCGATTCATTAAAAATTACAATCTGTAAACATTTTCAAAAATACTTACTTCACTCATCTTTGTTTGCGTTCATTGACAATCTCAACAGAGATACCACAGGGAATTTTCTTGACTTCATTTTCCATGTTATTACACATAGCTACCAGGCCAATAAAGCAAAACCCAATAAAAACAAACTTTAAAAAAGGTACAGAAGCGTTGCTTACCTACAGTTACCTCAATATCTGTGTCCCTGGTGAAATAGTTCAATACTGGTCCCGATACATAACCAGAACCAAGCAACAACACTCGGCCTTTTGCACTCATGTTCCTCATTTGAGCAGACTCCCTAAAAACACCAGAGTGCAGTTTAGAGGAATTGAAGACTGTCAAATGACACAGTTCTAAGGACTGTCAGAGAAAAAGTGCATGCAAATTGCATGCAAACAGATAAATTTAATTTTGAAATTCTATGATTCAAAATTAAATTTCAAATGAATGCAGCACCAACTAAAATTCATAAGATTATACAGATATGCTGCAGTGCATTTCTGCGATATTAACAAGGCAGGCTGTCTAGATAGGGGAGGGGTGCTATATTAAACTAAATGCTGCACGTCTTTCATATTTGACAGGGTCCTCACTGGTAGTTAACCTAACTGACAGGTTTATCTTCCAGTTGGGTAGTGAGGATTCTAGCGGAGATTGATCCAATACTAAATACAAAAACAAACTATTGAGGATGTTGGATATCTGAAAATAAAAATAAACATTTCAGGGGGAAAAAGGTTAGGCTGTATCCATGGGGATAAACTGAGACATTTTTTTAAAATTTCGGTGATCTTACAATTCCTCTTCATTAATTCATTGAGTTTCTAAGTAAGTGGGAGTTCGGTATGGGTCAGGAAGCACCAAGGAGATCTGTGAAAGGTCCAAGGCCAGGGCAGATTAGATAACAAAAGACTACATGCTGCAACAGTCAAAAAGAATGTTGATGGATACAGTGAAGAAATGAAGATGTGAAGTGAACTGCTACTTAAACACCATCTGAATACAATATGAAAGGACAAAGAAAGAGACAAAATGAAGACAACCTAGCAAAATGGAACAAAGACAGAAAATGAAACCATAGAACAAGATGGAGGCAGATATTATGATCAAAATTCAAAGTTGAGTCTAGAAGACTGTAGAGTGTTAAGTTGAAAGATAATGAATTGTTCTTGAAGTCCAATTTCAACCCTAAAGCTGGCGAGGGATTACAAACAATCCTGGAGGTCTTTGTATAGAGGGAGGGTTTGATAGGGAGGGTGGCTGTCTGTTGGAACTTAATAGTTTGGCTGTACACCTCTGGGCCCACAAAGCAATTCAATAAAAGTAGTTGCTTTCTAGCTGAATCTGGCCCCTCTTCCTTTAAATTGCCTGGTTTCCCAGGGCTGGTAAACCTAGCTGGCTAGGGTTAAATCTGTAGACTAACATTAGAACATGTAAATAGCCAATCGGCCTCCGAATTCTATCTGTGGCCTGAACAATGTTTTATAAAGTTGTAACAAGACTTCCTTCCTTCTATATTCTATGCTCCAGCTAACAAGGACAAGCATCCCAGATGTCTTCTTCACTGCCCTGTCTACTTGTGCTGACAGGGATCTATGGACATGTACATCAAGTTCCCTTTGCTCCTCACAACGACCTGAGGCTGTGCCATTCATTTTGTATATCCTTCCCTTTATTAGGCCTCCCAAAATGCATCCTCTTGCACTTATCAGAATTAAATTCAATTTGCCATTTCTCTACCCAATTTATCAGCTGATCAAATCAGATGTAGCTTGAGACCAACCTCCTCACTGTCAACAACACAATTTTTTGTGCCCTCTGCAAACTTACTAATTATACCTTCTACATACATAGTTGTTAAAATACTTAAGAAAAGCAAGGGTGCCATCACTGACTCCTGTTACTCACCACTGGTCACAGGCTTCCAATCACAAAAACATCATCCTTCACTGCCTGCTTGTGAACCAATTTTCAATGCAGTTTGCCAACATGCCTTGGATCCCATGGGCTCTTACCTTTTGGACCAGCCTTCCATCTGGGACCTTGTCAAAGGGCCATTTCTGTAGTCCATGTAAATCACATCAACTACACTACCCTCATCAATAAATTTAGTCACCTTCTCAAAAACCTCAATTAAATTAATCCACCGCCCATAGCAGCCTGAAATACATCTCATCAGGCCCTGTGGATTTATGTACCTGTCTGCCTGCTAAAGCATCTAATAACCCCTCTTTGTTAATCTTAACATGTTCTAGAACCTCACCATCCCAACTGATATCCCGAGCTACAATGTCTTTCTCCTCGGTGAATACAGATGCAAAGTATTCATTTAAGACCTCCATGCACAAATAGCCCCCTTAGTCTCTAATAGTTCCCACTCTTTCCTCAGTAATCCTCTTGCTTTTAATATATATATAAGCCTTGGTGTTTTCCTTGGTCCCACCTGCCAAAGACATTTCATAGCCCCTCTACGCCCTCCTAATTTCCTTTTTAAGCAACTTCCTACACCCTATATACTTTTGAAGGGCCTCCCCTGTCTTTAATGCATACCTGAATTCCTTTGGTTTCTTTATCAAACTCTCAATATCCCTTGACATCTAAGGTTCCCTGGGCGTGCAGCCTTTGCTCTGAAGAGGAACATGCTGGCTCTGAATGCTCACTTTTTTTTAAAAGACTATCACTTTCCAAATGTAGACTTACCTGCAAGTAGCTACTCCAACTCTGTATTTGTCAGATCCTGAATAATGGCATTGAAATCAACCTTCCCCCAACTTAGACACTTCTGCACTATTCTTATCCCTTTCCACAAGGGCTTTGAAACTTAGAGTTATGGTCACTATCCCCAAAACACTCACCCACTCAAACTTCAACCATCTGACCAGCTTCATTCCCTAGGATTAGGTCCAGCACTGCCCCATCTACGTGACAATTTAAAAAAATTTGAAAATCTAAATCATCTACCTACCTATCAGATATGGAAGGAATGTGAAGGACAGTCCGGTAGGTAGAGAAAACATGGACAGGATAAGGCACATGAGAGGTCTAGAACGTTACATTGTATATATACATACCAGCATAAAAAGCTCTCCTGGATATACATTAAGAATTCCACCTGTCTCTTCCTTTCACACGAAGACAATCCCAGTCGATGTTAGCAAGATGAAGTTCCCTAAAACTATAATTTTGTTTCTCTCGTGATTTGCCTACATATCTCCCTCTGACTATTAAGAGGCCTGTAGTATAATCCCAGCAAAGTAATCACCCCTTTATTTCAAAGTTCTAAATACATGGCCTCATTTGAAAAGCCTTCTAAGACATCCTCCCTCATTACTGCAGTGAACAGTTTCCTTGTCAATAATGTAATTACTCTACCTCACACCCCCAAACCCCCACCCCCAAGACTTCGATACCCTGGAATGATGAGCTTCCAGCCCTGTCCTTCCTTCAATTATGTCTCAGTGATTGCAACCAAATCATATTCCCACGTGTTGATCAATGCTCTCAATTCATCCACCTTATCTGTCAAGCTCCTTGCATTAAAATAGATACAATGTAACGTTCTAGACCTCTCATGTGCCTTATCCTGTCCATGTTTTCTCTACCTACCGGACTGTCCTTCACATTCCTTCCATATCTGATTGGATCTTGCTCCTGACTTTACATCTACTCTGTGCTCCCTCCCCCTCCTCCAACTTCCACTGTACAATGTATAGTGCATAAATAGCATTGAAGTGCCAGGCCTTGGCACAAGGGAACAGCAGGAGTGCGTTGTGTGGAAGGAGCGGCATACCTTGACACGGGTGTCATGAGGAGGATGTACTCTCAGACAGACTATGGTTCATAACACCTTTGATGCAATATGAACCATGGTGTTTTAGAATACTGGCAGACATCATGAAAACTGCTGAGTATTGGGATGTGCTGTTCTCCACAATAGAAGTCAGCCAGGTCACATGCTTAAAAGAATTCTTGAAAATCAGAAACCCTGGGAGTGGGGTGGAAATCCTGGAATCAGGACCCATGCTCCACTTTTGAAGGGGTCCTGAGGGATCCCGACTCAGTCAAAAACACTGAGTCCTTAGATTTAAGTCACTAACTGCAAAACAAAATTTTAATGAAACACAATAATTTCTTCCCATTACCAGATGACACAAAACAAAGCTCAATGCAACACTGTAATAGTTTACATTTATAGTACTTATGATTTACAGAGTATTTGTCACAACATAGTTGACAGCTGAGACCACAGTACAGCTTACCTGTTCGCTCTTAACTTCTGGATATATTTGAATTTAGGAGTCAGTGAACCATTCGATGCAATTACAGCCTAGAAGTAATCAGTTTGAAACAGAACATACATTAAAATGTTACTGGAGCTGTGGCAGACAATAAAAATGTACAAAGCCAAATGCTGAAGTTCACTTACGTTCCGAATAACCGGTGTTAAATCGTTCTCCTTTTCAAAGGGTTGTGTAGCATCAGAGGTCAACTGTAGTTGAAGGAAATCAGATACCCTTTTTAGAAATATCAAATAAAGTTCAGATTTAAAGAAAATGTCGAAAAGGGTGTCAGCTTCCACAAAGGAGGCTAATCCAATTGTAAACATCAACTCTACGTATGTTATCCAGCAACAACATTAATATAATCCAAATCAGCTGATCAAAGGTTAACTTCTCCACCTTGAAATTTCCAAGTACAAATTACACTGTTCGCAAGAAAGACGTTGGAGAAATTTCAAATAGTAACAGAAGAGGGTTGGAAGTACCCAACAGGCTGGCCTGGAGAAGGCAGAGATCTGAAAGCACCACTTTTACAGAAGGGGGAGGAGGGAAGGCGTGCACATTTTGTAGAGGCAGCTACCAGATAACTCAACAGCTCCCTCCACTCATGTCTGATCTTGATGACCTAGGCCCATGAAACACAATGTCACAGATTAGACCTAGTAGGAGCAGGTCTAAATTTTGCAGAGTGATTTGGGGAGGTGAGGTACCTCTTTGGATATTTCAGGGCATCTTTAGGAGAGGTCATTGATGATACTGACCTAATACTTAGGACACTCATCTGGTGCTGACTAGCTCCCTAGGTTAGTGTATTTTAAAACTGTACAACACAAGCCATGAAACAGGTTCGACAGAAAACTGACTGATTTCAATAATTCCAGCTTACAAACCAATAGCGGACTAATTGGTAGACAGCATTGCAATGTTATAGATATACAGAATCCCTACAGTGTGGAAACAGGCCCTTCAGCCCAACAAGTCCACACCAAACCTCAAAGCATCCCACCCAGACCCATATAACCCACCTAATCTACACCTCCCTGAACACTACGGGCAATTTAGCATGGCCAATCCACCTAACCTGCACATCTTTGGACTGTGGGAGGAAACCGGAGCACCCAGAAGAAACCCACGCAGACACGAAGAGAATGCGCAAACTCCACACGAACCCAGGTCCCTGGTGCTGTGAGGCAGCAGTGCTAACCACTGTGCCACCGTGCCGCCCCAAATATACATGCAGCACAGAGCTCTTACAAATGAAAGATACATAAAAGGCAAGATACATATATAAGAGACAGGTGCCCTTTAAGATTGTTAAATGTGGACATGAATCTGCATAACTTCATAATGTTCAAATATGCATTAGATATAAATAAACTCTTTGGAACGGTCAAAAACAAGTATCAAGCTGTTAACTCAATTTAAATGTTTTCCTTGAAAAAAGCTAATGTTTAAAAAAATGCTATTGCATTCTGTCTGTTGACAATGTTTCCATTACTGGATTAATTAATGCACGACTGATTTCACAACCCTAAATTGTCACATTCATGTGCCTGCAAGTGGCTACAGACTTGAAGCAGAACTCTTCAATTGCCCTCCTTTGGTGCAGTAGTGCCCCTCTCCGATGGACAGTGGAGGCATGGGTACAAGTCCCACTTACTCCAGAGGTGTGTACTCATCTCCGAACAGGTTGATTAGAAAAATAAAGTCAAATTAAAAAAAAAACTTGAATTCCAATTATCGCTGTCATATGGAATTAAGCACTTGAATGAAATGTTTGTTAATAAGGGATTATGCAGTTTAAATTATGTAAATGTGATGAACAGGTTTTTGTTTAAATGAAAAACCTCGCAGATTTTATAAAGTCTGCAATCAACATGTTGAACTTAATTCCATCTCAGCAGGGGCCCTGATGTCTGTCTATGGTGGGCATTCAGTTAGTTGGAATAATGTGTAGAGTAAAGAGTGGTGGGTGGGGTTTTTTAAAATTGGCACAAGTTGTCACAAAGTTAGCACAGCACTTTTAAGGAGACTTGGGTGTATCGAGAGGCATAGGTTGGCACAAGGGCTATAAAAGGGTCATTGGGATGGATAGAAGGACTGAAATTGGCATGGAAGGCATGGGCAACTGAGATCAGGTGGGGAATGAGGTTGCATGGCTGGCATGGGAGATGTGTGGGGGGTTGATACGTTGTGAAGGCTAAGGGCTGGAGAGATGTTTTATGTCTCATTCTTTTTAAAAATGTTTTTCTCATTTATTCACAGGATGCGGGTGTCACTGACTAGGCCATCATTTATTGCCCATCCCTAACTGTTAAGAGTCAACCACATTGCTGTGGATTCTTGAACACAGTGCCAGAGGGTCAAGGCAGGCATTCCACTCAGTTGGCCTTCACACCAGGTAGACTCCATACTTGTCCTAGGGTCACCTGGCCGAACTCCCAGAGAAGCCAGATGTACCAGAATGGAAATCACAACTTCTGAGGCATTTACTCCCAAGTCAGTCTTTAGAACCAGGAACTCTCTCCACTCCTCACTCTCAACCCGGAAGAAAAGATTCAGGCCTTAATTTTTCAGGTCAGTGCCGCTTGGTCAAGGTGCTCAAAGATACAACAGTTTTTAAATAAGGCAGGAAAAGGAGGAAAGAATAAACTGGGATATCTGTGGTAGGATGGATGGAGGGACAATTGGATGAGAAAAAGAATGATAATGAAAATCAAAGAGACAAGAAATAAAAGCTATTTCAAAAGATGGAGAGATATGTACAAAGTAATCCAGATTCATCACTAACAGTTGCCTTCAGAAAGTGGGGTTGGAGGTCATGATCCCAAATTGTAGAACTCAAATGTAGATTCCAGAAGACTGTAAAACTGAAAGATGAGATCCTGTTCCTCGAGCTTAGACTGAAATTCATTGAAACGTTGTTGAAATCAAAAAGTAAAGAAATCAGAGTGGGAGTAGAGCAAATATTTAAACTCAGGGGCATGCTTGTAAAATGAATGGAGATGTTCCACAAAACAATAACTCACCTGCAACCATCACCGAAAGCATTTTCCCCTTCATTTCCATTGCAACTTTTCAAAGTGAACATCCTATGACACAATGGTCCTCTTCTCAATCACCCACTCCCAACAAGACCATTTTCCACAGCACCTCATCATGCAACTGTAACAGATGCAACGACTAGCCTTCCACCCTCGCCTGATTTTGCACCCTCCAGGGCCTTAAACTCTCCTTTCAGGTGAAACAGCAATTCCCTCGCACTTCTTTCAATTTTGTACACAGCATCTCTCATGGCTCAGCTGGCAGTGCTCTCTCTCAGATTCAAACTTCAGAGTGGAACTTGAACCCAGAACCTGGTGATTCAAAAACTCAAAGCTAACAATTTAGTGCAATGCTGAAGGAGTGCTGCATTCTCAAATGAGACATTAAAGTGAGGCCCCATCTGCCTGCCTCAGTGAACATGAAAGATTCAATCGTATTATTTTAGAGAAAGTCAGAAGTGTTAACTCCAGTGTTCTGGGCAATATCTATCCTCAATCAATATTACAAAAATAAAACAACAGGTTCTATTGGGCATTATTGCATTGAAGTTGTGGAGTTTTGTTGTTACAAGTTAGCTGCTGCATTTCCTTCGTTGCTATACTTCAGAAGGGTTGCATTCATCATACAGCACATCAATACATCTGGTGATCATAAAAAGTGCTAGGTAAATGCAACTCTTCTTCTCATTTTTACTCACAATGCAGTCTCCTGGAATGATTAGGTGCCTGCTTTGCCAAACGACCTTGTCAGTACACAAAAATGACCGAGTTTCCAGTTACTTGTCAATTTAATTCTCCACCTCACCCAGCTCTGGTTTCTATGCAGTGGTCGAGTGAAGACCAACATGAGCACAAGAAGCAACAGCTCAACTTCCAAATACAACCATTCAGAATTAACACAAAGTTCAAATATTTCAGATCAAGTTCTCTGACCCCTTTATACTTTGATAGCAACTGTTGATGGTGATTCTGCTATCTCCATTTACATCTCCTCCAAGCACACTTTTTGTTTCTTTACTTGTGCCATTACAGCCTCTCTTTGTTTCTCACTATCATACAATTTGTGATTTAATCTCTCATCTTCCACCAGTATTGGTGCCTCCGCATTTATTCTTAAATCTCTCCTAACATTTCCCTGAATTTGGAATGATCTCAGGTGTTCCCAGATATGGGGAAGGGTGATCAACCTGAAGCTTTAACTCCATTTCTTTCTTCACAGATGGCGCCAGACTTGAGTATTTCCAGCATGTTCAGTTCTTACTTCAAATTTCCAACATTCTCAGCACATTATAGTCATGAGATTTGGACTGACTTAAAAAAATCTTCCCTGCAGAATATGTGAATGCTAACCCAATTTCAATGCCAGGAAGCAGGCTGGTTAAAATCATTCATAGTTCAGGTTAAAAACAAAACAGAAGAATGAATGGTGCCACCTCATATTTTGACAGTGGCATGGATCCCTATAGCTCAAAACCAAGGACAGCCAATTAACTACTCCTAAGAATCAGTGTTCCCAATTACATTTGTTGAATAAGGTAAAAAAGTGCCAACTTATTACAAATGAGATGCAGTTATTTACTGTACCATTTACAAACATAAACCAACTGCTTAGTTTTTGCAAAGTAATCTTTGTGCTACACTGGGATAGTGGAACAAAAAAAATGAACGTTTAGGCCCTTTTTGATGGAATATGTTGCTTGTTTAAATGATGGCAAGGAAAACAATTAGCCTGCATAAAGATAGCCTAAAATAGTGGCTCAAATAATGGTGGATACTGTCATCTTTTCTGGTCACTTCAGCTCCATATTAAGAGTTTAACTGGCAACCTTGCAGGTTAGGAAGGTCATATTTTATAAATGGTTATGTTTTAAACTGTCTCTTTAATACAATGCTATAGTGGAATTGGGGCTGTAGATGACTACTAATTCACATTTCTGACTGGATGCCAGACCCATGTGATTCATACTGCCATGGAGATAGCTTTGGGAAAGGAAACGTCCACAGGAACCCATTGTACTACTTGGTTACACAACATTTCTAATATATCCACGAAACTCATAAGCTTAAAGTTATTCTGCACCAACCTGAGAGACACAGATGAGGTCGAGGCAGCTAGTCCTGTACCTGAAGCAGAGAAAAAGCTGACTCTATTGGTAATCATGCACAAAGCTGGGGATCTGAAGGCAGCTGGAAGATTTGTCTAGCTTAGGCTATAGAGAAGAAATTGTCAATGCAATCCTTACAGTAAAAGTCAATTCTGGGAAGTTACCTGGTTGGGGAAGGAAAATGAAATCAAGCCATCAGGAATACTTTTAGACTGGTTCCTGAAGAATGAAGAATCCATTTGAAGAATGGTGTAATGTATAAACATCATAGGAAAATTTTGGCTATGCTGAAAGTTTAATTGGATGTTGATTTTTGTAGTTTAGAATAAGTGCTACCTAAAAGATAATGTTTAGTCAATGTTGTTTTTAAATTTGTGGCAGGAAAAGTCTTAAAACTTGAAATCTTTCTGTGATCTTTTCAGTCGGTCACTGGAAATTGAACTATCTTTTCAAATGTTTTTGATCTCTACAGAGAGACTATTATAATCATTTGATCCAATATACCCCAAATAGCTATAATCGCAAGTATTTTCCAATCCCCAAGGAGTATATTGTTGTATCTGCATTGTCCTGTATACATTTCTTATGTAAGACCTCTCCAAAATCTCGGTAAATGACAAAGCAGAACAGCTGATCCAAGACCAGGATGGTTAGAACTCTTGCCTGACAACAAAAGGAAGAAGTGCGATGTAGAGTAGGAAACCACACAGTACCATTGATTAAATCCTTTCCATTATTTCATTCTTACTACCATGCATTTTACCATTTCCCACAAATATGGGCTCAGCTGGTCTCCAAAATATTCCGTGGCCTCTATTGGGAGCTGTGCAGGCAGATTGTCTATTGAACACATCAAGATCCCATTGCCTTCTAGGCTGCAAGTAAAAACAATTACACAGACTCCAATTAAACCATATCTGCAGTGGAGGAAAAGCTTGCTTCAAAGAGAGTGTCTAAATTTAAAAGCAGATTTTCCAAAGGTATGCTCCTGATAATGGAATTTTGCATGGACACACCACTCCCGCTCCAAAAACATAAGTCAAGAAATACTGGGCTTGCTTGACACCCATTTCCATCCACTAACTGCAAATGGATGTGTTAACTTTGATCGGTTTATCCCACCATCAGTGGCTCTGTCTTCAAATGCCCCAGCCCTAAGCTCTAGTATTCTCTCTCAAATTCTTTGCCACACCATCATTCTCTCCTTCTTTAAGATGCTCTTTAAACATATAACTTTCTTCAAAGTTATGGGGCAATCTTTTGCCTGAGTATGTTTCCTGTAATCTTCCATTAGAGATCTTGAAACATTAAACATTAACTCTAATTGTCAAAGGTTTTTAAGAAAATCCCTGCATGAAAATTGCTTACACATCAAGTCAAAAGGCTTTGGCTTAAGTCTTTCTTCACAGCCTTGAAGACAAAAATCTGGTCTGACAATCTCGTGGAATGCTGAGGGAATGCCGCACTGCTGAAGGTGCCATTTCAGATAAGACAGCAAACCATTAAACCCCTTCTCAGATGGAATAAAAAGATCCTCAAAAGTATTGAGGAGTAAGGGTAAGGAAGTCATCCTGGGTGGCCTTGACAATATTCACCCCTCACGTAACATCAAAAAATCTTCATTACTACATTATTGTTTGCGGAAGTTGCAAATGCTTTAGAATAATCACTTAAAAGAATTGAGTCAATGCTATATGAAGTCCCTTGATGCAATTTGCCGTTATTAATGTGGGGAATCTTACCTGTCATGAATAACCTGTTGTTCTGCATCATACATACAAAATGGCATGTCAATGGATGTACATTCAGTCATAAACTCAATGGAGCCACCAGTATCAGCAGAAATATCACAGATTGCCAAAAACCTGGAAGAGAGGCACAACACAACACCTCATGTTATACAATACTGCCGCACTAAGAGCAAAAAGAAGGGATTGTGCATGTTTGTAGAGTTGCTCCAAATATAAATGCCACTATATAGTGAAATATAATTAGAAGATATAAAAAAGAATAAGCAGAATTATTGAATATGGTCTGTCAAGCCTGCTTCACTTAATATTATAACACAAACATGGGAATCTTTGTGTGAATACTTTTCACAGAAGGTGTTCTGATAAACCATTCAGAAAGTAAGTAAACAAGGTGTAGAGCTGGATGAACACAGCAGGCCAAGCAGCATCAGAGGAGCAGGAAAGCTGAAGAAGGGTCTAGGCCCGAAACGTCAGCCTTTCTGCTCCTCTGATGTTGCTTGGCCTGCTGTGTTCATCCAGCTCTACACCTTGTT